CAGTAGCTCTTGATGTGCAAAGTTTCTTAAAAAGTATCTCTGTGACTAAGTTGGGATTGTAGTTTTGGATTGTCCAAGAAAGCCTTGCAATAATTAAAATATTTGCTTTAAAACACAACTGGACCACAAAAAAACATGCAAGTTTTTCAGATGAGTTGTGTTGTGCTTGGATGTTATTTCTGGTAACAATAATATTTCTGGGTTGTGAATCAGGACTTGTGAATTCTACTTGGCCATTTGTCTTTATTGTGTCATTTTCAGAACTGGGCACTACTTTTATTCATTTTATAACTAGGTTTGGGCCAGGTTTTTGAAGTTCTGTGCCTCACTAAAACATGTTTGTGAAAATACTAAGATTACTGAATTTAGAGGTTCACTTAAAACTAATGACTGCTGCTTGGAATGACTTTATTATTGTTATTTATTTATTATTAGGTTTTTTTAATAAATAAATAATTATTTATTATTTATTTATTATTAGTTATTAAAACTAATGACTGCTGCTTACATTATCTGTTAAGGAATTATTTTGACAGGAAGAGAAAATGCTTTTTTTTCCTCACAGTTAAGATTAGCTGGGCTATGTGTCTGAATCTTAACTGTCAGTACATCAGGCTTTTATTTGTTGTTTTACTTTTGGGTTTGTGCCTCTTGTGTGTAGTGTTGTCAATAGGTGCTTTTATCTCCAGAAAATACTGACCTCCTAGGATACTATCTCCATCACATGCTTTAAACAGTCCCAAATAGTAGTTAATGTACTGATTGGGGTCATCTGATATTTACAGTCTTGCAGAATGCATAGATTGCTGTTGAACTTTCAATTATATATTTAATTTTATAATGCAGCCAACTATATAATGTAAACTTGTGTTGAATATTTTTTACTTGGTTCCTTGGGTCATAGATCTGGAAGAGATGTATTATTCTTTGTGTGTTACATGTGTTCTTAATTTAAACAGCATCTTTTATTTTGTTTCTCTAAGGAAATAATAAAATATTATACTGAAGATAGAAATGCTGAGGACAAATGGAAGAAACCACCACTGCTGGAGAAACTGAAGGTATGGGATAACAAATATTTTTAGCACTATAGCAGTAAAAGAGCCCAGACACAGAGGATAAGAGTGATTGGTATACCCTGTCAGAGAAGTTACTTTGCATGCAAAGAAACAATGTGAGGAACAGGGAAAAGAAAGGAAGAGGGAAGTATGGAAAAAGTGAGAAAACAAATGAGAGAGAAGAAAAACAAAATGAAGTCTGAGAGGGGTATATCTGACCTTTAAATCAAAGACTGAACCTACAAATTCAGAATAGCTATTGCAAAAACCATCAGATATATTGGACAGTAGGGTAGGCAGGAGTGAAGAAAATGTGTTGCAAACCAGAATTATTTTTTTTTAATGGCTTATTGCTGATGTTTTTTCTGTTGATTCTTGTGACAGGAATTGGCCAAAGCAGAAGGTCTGTGGAACCTTTTCCTCCCAGATGTTAGTGGTCTCAGCCAGCTTGACTATGCCCTGATAGCTGAGGAGACAGGGAGATCCCTTATTGCTCCTGAGGTTTTCAACTGTCATGCACCAGGTTAGCAACCCTGGTTTAATCCCAAGACTATGGCACTGGAGCATTAAAAAGTTGGGTGTCTGACACCTTACAGGCTGTGTCTTGAGCAGTAATCATGACTGCTGATTTCTTACAGACACAGGAAACATGGAGGTCCTCCACATGTATGGCACTGAAGAGCAAAAGAAACAGTGGCTGGAGCCTCTCCTAGAAGGGAAGATTAGTTCTTGCTTCTGCATGACAGGTGAGTTTTTCTCCAGAAGAAAGTTAGAGCCAATTGGTTGAAACTTCACGTGGTGTATGCAGGGAGGAGTAGAAAACTGCAAGTTGTGTGTTACAGCGAACATTTCTGTACTAATTCACAATCAATGAATGTGTTTGAATATAAAATCATCTATGAGGTGTGAATGCAGACTGAAGCAGCCTTGCTGCCTTTCCTGGTAGTTGCGAATTTTCCTGGTTATAATAATTAGTATTTTCTTTCTATGTATTTTTAGCTTACTTTTTGTACCAGTAAAATAAAATTTGTAGTACCAAACAGGTTTGCAGTAGAGCTTACCCTTCCTTGTAGTGTGCTGTGGAGTTCTCTAGACACACACAATTGGGTCCAAGTATGATTATTGTGATTAAAGTTGTGTGGTTTTGCAGTCTCATAGCTTATTTTTAAGACACAACCCAGAAATAACTTGCTTTATGTCCATAGCTCAGCATTGTATTAGTTTTGCTCCTGAAAGCTTGTGGCATTCAGCATCTCTGGAAGGTAGCTTTTGGAACTTTTTCCATCTAAAATAGGAGGATCAAAATCTTGATTCTCCTGTTTTAGATGGAACTGAGAGAACTCAGCCTTGCAAACTTTTACTTTGCAAATTCTGTTTCACTGTGTTTCCCAAGAGGAGATAGATACTTTTGTTTTAAAGTAGATGGCCTATAAAAAGATGTAACAGTGAAAGGAGAGAGTAAGAATCTTTCCTGTTCCAAAAAATCATTAATGAAATTTTGCTGACAACTTCATGGTAGTATATTTCGTATCCAACCACAAAATTATTTTCAATCTCTATGTTCGCTTGGGAAGAACCCAAGAGGAGAAAACAGGCTGAGGAGAAATATGACTGTTACCTATAAGTACAATGGAAGGATAAAGGATTTAAAAAGAGAAGGAAAGTAAGAAGGCTGATTGCAAAGGGTGGTCCAAGGCCAAAAACAAGTACATTTAAACTGGCTGTGAATAACAGATTGTTGGAAAACAGGAATTGTTTTGACCACCAGCAGCGAGGTCTTCAAAGAGTTTTTCTACTGGGAGCAAAACTTCTAATAGTGTATCCAGAGCCCTATATTTGTAAAGGTTGTATTTCCTTTATATTTAATCTGGTGGTTTGTTTTCTTCCTTTGACACAGAACCTGATGTGGCTTCAAGTGATGCCACCAATATGCAATGCAGCATTGACCGAGATGGGAACAGCTACGTGATCAATGGCAAGAAGTGGTGGAGCAGTGGTAAGTGCGGAAACCTAAATAAGAATGGCTAAGGTAGAATGTTTTCCAAGAACTATTAAAACAAAAGTTAGTGTGCTACCATTTCTGAGATAAAAATTTGTCTTCTCCTGAGTAAAGGCAATAGAATGTAAAGCAGCAGAAGGAGCTGAATTGAGCTTTTGTTCTATGAACCGAATTCCAAGATTCAAATCCAGTTTGGGGATTTGGGCCCTTTTTGGAACCTCTGAATTTTGTTCACAGAGTGAATGCAGCTATTTTCTTTAAACATTACCTCTCTCTATCAGTTAAATTACATATTTATGGCTTTGTTTTCATGAAGCTGTCGTTGGCAGCTTGTGCAAGAGGCTTGAGAGTACTTTGTAGCTACAGTAAAATGTAGGCTGCTTTAAAGTAGCCTGTGGTGCAGTTGGACTGACTATTAGAGGAGATTTCCTTATGTTATAATTCCCAGTAAAATCAATGCATTGTACTGTAAGTGGCAACTGTCCCTGATATTGTAGTACTGTTACTTTTTTTGCCAAAACATGTCACAGCAACTTGAAAGTCATCATTCCCTGGGAATTTGGAATCCAAGTAAATAAACCAAGTTGTTGAACTGGAATGTTTAATTATGTACACGATTATGACAGCTAGCTGCTGCTACATGCTTGTGCAATACTTGGAGTCACCAGAAGACAGATCTCTCTCTCTGTTCTACTCCTGTAAAACTGGCAGCAAAAAGAGGCATGGAATCTTGTCTCCTGACCTAAGAGTGTTGCTTAACTGCTGGCTTTTTAGCCTTTGCTCTGGGTCACTGTCTCCCAGCTATGCAATGCAGTCCCTGAGGAAGTAATTGAGAAAGTTTTAGGGGGTCACACACAAAATAATATTCATAAAACAAGAAAGTTTTAGGGGGTCACACACACAAAATAATATTATGTGAATTATAAAAAGGAGAGTAAACATAAGACAGCATTATTTGATTTGTCTTATTTTTAATAAATACAAAGAGTGCAGTCAAATTTGCATAAAGACAGATACATAAAAGGCACTGCAATCCCAAGAAGTTTGAGAAACATGTTCATTTGGCTCTGTATTATTCTCTCTTTCTGCCTGGCTGGGAAGGTATTTTTTTGTTGTTGTTGGTTTTGGTTTTGGTTGGGGTTTTTTGACTTTTGGGACATTAAAACCTTGGATGTGTGGGAATCCCAGAAGCCTGGAAGTCTGGTCAGAATGTCCCTCTGTATTTGTGAAGGCAAGTCATAAATCACACATGCAAGGAGTCAGTTGCTTCATGGAAGAAGTGAGGTTTCTTATTATGCTCTGCATGTGTATAGCAAATCCAGTATGGCTTAAATAGGTCAGATTTATGGTGTATGTGCAGAAAACCTGTCAGGCACTTCTGACTTATCTGTTCACGCCCTAGTATTTCTCAAAACATTCTGAGCAGACATTCTGTAAGCTTTTGTAATCCAAACAGTGAGAAGAGGCTCGTGTCTTGTTTATGCTACTGTTGTTTCTTTCTGTCATTTTAGAGCTTTTTGTTCCAGTTCATAATTGTGTAACTAGGAACAGTATCTAAAAATGAGAGATTCTTGCTGGCTTTTCTAATCTGTAGATGAGACATTTTGTCAGTGCCCACAGGATGTTTGAAGACAAGGACAGAATGCTGTAACGCCACTTCTTCATTTTGAAAGCTAAGCTAGCTTGCCAGCATGTTTGAAATGCTTCCAATGACTCATGGAAAACTGCTGTTTTCCTGGAGCCCCTGCCAACACTGTGGCAGAGGAAGGCCTTGGTACCTCTCTTTGTAAAAATTGTAAATCCATGAGCTCCATATGGAATGGGAAGCTCTCTCTTTTGTCAAGCAAGGCCTCTCCCATTTGCTGGTTGGTAAATGTCTATGATGAGAGATGTCAGTACCTACTAAAAAAAAAAATAAAGATAAGAAAAAACAAAAGCCAGTGTACTTTTTCTATTCTTAGATTTTATTATATCTTCATATATTTTAGCAGATGCAGTTATTGTAGTTCTTGATTAATTTTAGCAATTCTAAATAAAAAATCCAAGCCTTGTATCTGATGATTACCTGAAATTTTTATTACATTTATAAAAATCTAGAGTATGCCAGCCACCTTTCAAGCACTAGTTGAAGCTTAGGGTGAGCAGAAAAGAAGAGATGAAAGAACATTTTTCTGTAGTTATAGAAAAGGAGTTGCTGGAGTGTTTTTGTGGAGGATGTTGTTGCTGGTATATATTTGTAGAAACATAGAGAATGGCTTTCCCCCCTTCTTTCTCCCTCTCAATTCTCAGCCATAAGCTTATGCTTCATTTCATTCTGCAAAGTTATTTATGGAATGATAGTTGAGAAATGGAGCTGAACTGTTAGGCAAATGTTCTAAAGTTTTATAAAATAGTTGGAGGAACACAAGATTATTAACTTCTGGTACAAAGATTCCTGTTGTTTGATTGGTGACGTTTTTTTTCTGTTTTAATCACATACTTAGATGTGTACAGGTTGTTCATTACATAGTTGCTTAATTGCCCAGTACTGTGACACTTGGAAATTTAAATCTTGGGGGTGTTTTTAGGTGTTTGGGTTTTGTTGTGGTGCTTTTTTTTTTGAGTTCTTTGATGTTGTTGTTTAGTAAATATCTTGGGTTGTTTCTAGGGGTTTCAGTATTCAGTTCTTGCTTGATTCCAATAAACACATTCCACTTTAAAGTGCTTTGTGATGTCTTGGCAGGTTCAGAAATTCATCTGAAAGCTGACTTGCAGAGAAACAGCTCTAGAAGCAATACCCCCTGGAATTAGTAAACCATTCCCTTGGTTATGTAAGATGATGGAAGCAATGGAGGGCCTATATAGTGAAACTGATTGTTTCTTCAGTAGGGTCTTCATAATTCATAGAAATTTCTTCAGGTCTTCCATTCTGCCTCTGCCTTCTCCAGTACCCGTAATTTTTTGCAATTTTCATGATGTGCATTTTGAAAGAGGCACCCAGGAAGGCATAGAGGAGGGGGTTGAGGCAGGCGTGGAACAGAGCGATGCTCTTGGTGACCTGGAGTGCCACATCCATGGTTTTACTGGCCTGGCAGTCTGTCACCAACATGTAGATGATGTCTATGGCTCGCCACAGCTTCACAATGTTGTAGGGTAGCTGGGTGACAATGAAAGTAGCCACTACTGCCAGCAGCACCTTGAAAGGCCTGGACTTCTTAACATTTGCAGACCTAAAGATTGCCCGAGCAGTAGCAGAATAGCAGATCAGCATTACTAGGAAAGGAAGAAGGAATTCCAGGATAATTTCCAGGATTTGAATGGTTGATTTCAAGAGTGTTTCCATGTTCATTGGAAATATGGGAAGGCATTCGTTGCTCTCGTTGTGTTTCTTAACTTGATTAAATATCAGCTCTGGGATACTGAGGAAAATGGCAGCCAGCCAGACACAGAGGCAGGTAACACTGCAGTGTTTGCCCACTCTTCTGTGGCCCTGGGATTCAGAAGTGGCCCTGTACCTATCCACGCTGATACAGGCCAGGAACAGCATGCTGGAGCTGAAATTCATGGTGTACAGAGAAGAAGTGAGCTTGCACATGGGGTTTCCAAGTTCCCATCCCTGCACTGCATTTGCAGCCCAGAAGGGGAGGGTGAAGAGCAGGAGCAGATCAGCGATGGCGAGGTGCATGATGTACACGTCCGTCTTGGTCTTGGGTTTCTTGCAGTAGGCATAAATTGCAACCACTAGTGAGTTTCCAGCCACCCCAATTGTGAAGGCCAATGCGTAGAACACTGGGAGGAATAATTTTCTGAAATTTCTCACATCACCTTTTTCACAGAGAAGCTCATAGGTATTGTAATCTATAAGAGGGTTGAGGTCATCCTCCTCATCCTCAATCCAGTAATCTGTTGAGTTATTCATGTCTCAGACCGTGGCAAAACTACAAGACACAAAAAAGTGGGGAGAAGGGAGAACCAAAGGAATAATATTGGGTTTAAGTTCTAAAATTTCTGTTGAAGCCTAAAACCCTTCCTCAGGGCTGCTTATACATCTCAAATTTAAGGAACTTGGATATTCAGAATACATTTGTGCATAATCAAAGTGAAGCTAGACAGTAACAGAGGCAGAGCAGACCATCTCAAGTTCTCACATGAAATAGGGTAACTGAGGTCATCAGTGTAGGCAATTCTTGTAAAATGGATTCAATTGAAATGTTTTCCTTACCCTTAGCATTTGAGGTTGTATAATGCCTGGAGTGCCCCGCACTGATTTCTGCATTTGAGTTGAGAAGCCATCAACCTGCTTTGACTGTGTTATGTTTGACAAAATTCGATTGCACATAACTCTTTCTGTACCTTTATGGGGTTGGAATTACACCTACCCCTCTCCAGCCTCTGCAAAGCAAAGCAATACCAGCTGAAGGCTGTAAGTGCTGCTGCAATCGGGTGTATAAGGAACATGAGCTGATTAGAGCTGAGGCAAGCAGCTATCTGCTGTCATAAATTCTGACAAATTTTGGATATGAGTCTAGTACAGGGAGAGTGTTTTTGTTTGTTTCTCAGATATACTGTATGTGCCCATTACAAAAAGTACAGCAAGGAGTCTGTTGCTGAACAGCAGCAGAACAAGCTTAATTTAGTCTCTATCCCACACAGCAAGCCATGCCCTCATGGAATTTCTTACAGGAGCAGATTGCTGTGGGTACACTGCATCTTACAGCTGGAGCTTCTCAGGATGTTATGACAGAAAGGAATTTTATTTACAAATATACAAACTACCCACAAGTACCCAAACAGCTCAGAAACTGTTGGTTTTTGAAGTATGATCTCATGATGGATTTACTCTGTAAACACTGAGGCTGGCTTCTCACTGCCAGCTTAGGGTTGAAGTTTAAGCATTTGTATCTTCAGATTAAGTCTTAAGCAAGTTTGTGTCCTGCATTATTTTCTTCTTTTCCTGTAACTGTGTTCATTGACTAGTGTGCTGAAATTCTGTCTGTTGTAAAATACAGTCCTGCAGTACCCTGTTTCCTTGGAATAAATGGGACTAAGGTTTCTTAGCAGCAGTAGCAAAAATCAGCTGAGAATGAAAAACATGTTCCCCTTTTGGCATCATGGCAGTGTTTAGAATTTGAGGTCAATGTTGCTGAAAGCAGATTGTTATCTGATATTCTGTCCCAGAGCTACAATTTGGCTCTTTCAAGCCTGAAAGAAAAATGCAAATATCATTTCTGTTTCTTAGACAGTTGTTTAAATGAATGTTTAAATGAAGTTTAAATGAATATTTAAACTCCTGAAGTTTTTTTAATACATCTGTCTACTAGAAAAAAATAAGTTACTGATTGATCTCATAATAAGGGATGCAAACCAATTAAATAGAGAGAAATGGAGGAATGAATTTTTTTTGTTTGATTTTTTTTCAGTGATTCTCTTAGCCAGAGTTTTAAAGTGTATTAGTTTAATATTAACTATTGGTTTGGCTCCATCTTTAATGACTTTGAAATGTTAACAGAATAGTACAAAATACTTCCCATCAAACTTTAAAAAAGGATTACTCCTTTTTAAGTCTTGCAATTTCTTCTTTATTGTTATCTTTATTGTCATCTTTAATGAGATGTGCAGAATGGAAAAGTACAGTCACTCTACTTAATACTTTGGCAAAGGAATGTCTGTTCCATGCCTAACAAGCTGTGTTAGCAGGATTTTCCAGCAGCAGTAATCTTTTGCAGCTTTTTTGTGCTTTGAGGAAAGATTTAGTTATCAGCAGCAAAATAACCTTTATTAATTTTTTTAGTAGAAGAGAAATTGCAGCAAGAACAGTTTAATCCACTTAGCTGAGATTTGAGGAAAATTAGAAGTTAAATGAAAATATTTTTCTTGTGGTCTTAAAACACTTAATACAGAACCCATCAAGGAATACTTAATCAAATTGTATCACTGGCAAATTTACTTGGAAGCAAACCAGTAAACATTTCAGGGCAAACTTTAAAAGTCTGTGCATGACAAAGCGGTTTGGCTGTGACTCTGTGCTCTGCTGCCTAATAAGATTTGCCTGCCCTGAGTTCATGACAGAAACAAAGTTGTCTAGAATGCTACATTGACATTTCTCCTTAGAAGCACAGCTATGTTTTGGCTCCCCTGCCTGCTCACGTTTGTCTTTCCTGGTGGTGCTGTCTCCCATTGCAAGCAGCCAAGCAGTCCCATGGGAGTCGGGCATTGAAGAGTGGTGGGAAGGCTTAGTTTAGTCTCCATGCCACACAGGGAGCCATGCCCACGGGGAATTGCTTACAGGAGCAGATTGCTGTGGGCACACAGCTGGAGCTTCTCAGAGTGATATGACAGAAAGGAATTTTATCATCTGCAAACTGCCCACAAGCACCCGAACAGCTCAGAAGCTGCTGGTTTTTCAAGTAGCTTTCTGTTATACTAATAAATATATTAAATCTGCAACAGCATGCTTTCTTGCAGAATTGTTTCAGCCTTCCAGTCAGATAAAAATTCAGTGTTTCTGTGTAATTAAACTTCATGTAGGATTGTATGAATGATGGTTAATTAGGTTAATATCGCTAGTTTTAACAGACAGATTTTTTTCCTCTGATAAATTAAGCAGTATTCTGTCCTGCTACTGAGCAAATCTAATTTTGATACTGGAAAGGAGATGTGCCTTAGTGAAATGATACATCTCTGTAAAGCCAACTTAACTAAGAGTTAATGTATGCAAAGAAAATATCATCCAATATACAGAGCAGTAAGAATTAAAACAAAACTAACCTTTTGTCAGCAGATGAGTAGCAGGTACTGCAGCTGAGATGTGCCTCAGTGAAGTGATCTGAATTGCTCTGACACATTGCATTTTGTCTTCAAACACCACACCCTCATGTGGAAGTCCGTTGCACTTTCATTTTGACTTGACAGTTAAAAAAAAACTTTTAAAAATTGTGCTTTCCTAGAGACTCTTCTTGTGTTGAACACGTACACTTCCTACATTCCTTCCTGTTCCAACAAACTGTGACTGCTCTTTGGAAGGTCAGGACGCTCTCACTGCTTCTCTTTGTTTGTGGTTTTATTCCTGGAAGTCCAAATGTTTAATGCATCATCGAGAGGTTTTTATCAAACAACACATTAAAAAGGTGAAAAGGATGAAAAGGAGGTGCATCTGGGGCTGAGTTACTGGCCCAGACACCACAGGAAGTCACTCCATTCTTTCCTCAGGGCAGTACTGCTCTTTTGATGGCTGATTGTGTAGGGTTTAAAGCGATCCTTACATCCCCTCCTTACATGACTTTTATAGGGGATTCAATAGAAAGATGAGTTGGTTTTTGTGAGGTGGGGAAAGGGGTTCTTTCAGTGTGTGAAACCAGAAAGATGCGAACGAAAATAAGTGAATTGTCAACCAGAGTACAAGCAGATATTCCTACATCCTGGGGGAGAGTTCTCAGGGGCTTGAATGTTGCCAGTCAAACTCATAATCAAATTAATGACCTGTTTGAATTATCCTGGATCAGATAACAATCTAATGAGCTTCAGTAAATGCAATATTGAAGTCCAGCAACACAGAGATATTAAGGAGACCAGAGGTCAGATTTTGGGGATTTTTTGCATGCTGGTGCACCTGCCATGACTGGATAAACCTTCTGTCTGTGCTTCAATTATTTTAAAATTTGTGAAAGGAAAAATTCTTAAAAATGGGCAGCTAAGAATGTAATGGGCAGATGTTTTCCACATGCTATATATTGTTTCAGAATGACAAAGTAAAATGGGCTGGGAGAGGAATTGCAGCCTGGAGGAAGAGTGCCACAATATTTGTGCATATTTCTGCAATGTTTTCATCTTGAGTTATCACAGTACTTCAGTGGTGCTCTTCACAGTGGCAGAAAAGAGGCTTGGGCTCCTTCCCAGCCATCTCCTCACAGGTCATGTCATGGCTTTGAGGCCTGAGCTCTGTCTCTTTAAAAAACAAATGAGATTTTCCGTTCTCAATAGGCTTTGTCTCAATAGGGTCTCCAACAAGACTGAATAATCAGGCTAGAGCTGAGAGTGCTCCCAGGGAATTGTGTGTTGCCTGCAGAAGTGCCCAAGAGGTTCTGTGGGCAGGCTGTAGGAAGGCAGTGAATCCTGCCTTGCTTATTGCAGTTGCTCGGCTCCTTGTAACCTTTCAGGGGTTCAGGGAGGACACATCCCTCCAGTCAGAGTAAAGAAATAATATTGTCATGTGTGTATTTCAGGAGGGTCAAAAATAACAAAAATTAGGAAGTAAGAGTGAATACAAAATAGATTTTAAGTAAAAACACTTGTGGCTGTGTGAAAGTGGCATGAAGGCAAGGAAAAAAATATTCCTAAGCTGAGCAGCTGCTCTCACTGGCATCACCAGAGCCTGTGAGCTCCAGCTGGGAATGACCAGCAGCCACATTCAGTGGCAGGACTGCAAAGCCCTTGCAGCTGCACAGCCCCAGCATTGCCTGTTTGCTTGCAGCTACAGCTGTAGGCTTTGCCCTCCATGAACCAGCTGCCTGCACTGTTATCTGGAGAAGATGAGATAAAACTGTGGAATACAACATGCTGGTGGAGAGAAATTACTGCAGGCTCTTGGTGGGATGTGCCTGTGTGTGTCCCTTTTCTCCATCAGGAGACTCCCACATTCCAACCATCAGTACCATGCTGCCATCCACATCCTTGTAGGACCAACATCTGGAGGGTGTTTGTCCTACAAGACCAGTTTCTTCTTGTAGGAGAGGCCAGAACCTTGGAAGAACAGGAAGCTGACAGGTCTGTAAGTCACCACAGAGCCCTGACCTTTAGCAGAGAGAAGTAACCTGCTGGGCTGAGGGGTGCAGCAGCCAATGTGGCAAAAACCATAGGTATTCAGCATTCAGGCAGTAGCTCATCTGGCCTTAGCCATCTTAGACAGGAGATTGAACACTGAAAAACAAATAGATTGTAAGAATTGAAGTGCTACTGGCTTCTAAGAACAGACTTCATGGCAGATTCCTCAAGTACAGGTAGTACTCAAAGGTTGCCACATTTAGTAGTCTCTCCACCAGAAAGAACCTCTATAAGTTGATTGTGTGAAGATCAGTAAACTTAAGCATGTTATACCCCTGATAGCAAAGATTAGGCTTCTAATGGGATTGTGATCAACACTCTAAGCACATTTTAAAATACTGTCTTTGCCTCACTATGTGAATGAGTGCCATGAAGAGTTAAAAAGTATGTTAGTTAAACCAAAGATGTTTGCCAGTTTAGCAGCATTGTGGTCTAAAAGTTTTGGTTTGTGCAGTCATATACATTGAAAACTTTATTGAAAGCTCATCAATATGGAAATATGGTTAAAATTGACCACTTGAAACATCTAGTGTTTCTTCAATTGTGAGCTTTCTTGCAAAGCTACTTCTAACTCCTACCAAAATAACAGGCTTCTCTCACTCTTGCCCTCCATCCTCCAGCAACATCTCTGAATTCTGTAAATGAGGTGAAAATGTCATTTACAAAAGAGATGTTTATTCCATCCAGGCTGTTTGCATTCCCTCCAAAGCACTGGAGTTTTTCAGAGTCTTGCATTAGAACTTTTTTTCTGGGTCTTTTATGGGTCGAAGTGACATAAAATTTATTTTAGTTTTTCAGGACTTCAGACTCTAAGGAGTGGAAGGGCCAGGAATCTGCCATCCTTTGCTGTGCTTAGATAGGAGATTGGAGAGTATTCATTTGCCTTCCAGAAATTGTACAAATGATTTAGAACATCTTACCAGATGTCCAGCTCTTAGTGAACTCCTCACTGAGTTCAACATGAAAGCTTCTTCTGAGGTTTTGTGAGTTTTTTGGGGTTTTTTTTCATGGTTAAATGATTAAATGACATGGTTAAATTTGCCCTTTGTTTTGAAGCAGGGATGTGACTTGAGGATTATTTATAAAACAGTTTTTCAGGCGTTTCCAGAAGGTCAAAACATATTTTGTTGTAAACCTCACTTGAACACATATCTGTTTTAGAAAATAGCACTTGTGCAATTCTTTACCTTCTGTGGAAAAGGAGAAGAGTCAAATACCCCTTGTGCAGGGGTGACATTTCCCTGTGCAGGGTAGTACCCTGCAAAGTACATGTTGAGTCATTTGGGGCTGATCAGCTGCTTTTGGTTGCAGTTGCCCAAATGAGCCAAGTGTTTGGGATCCGGTCTGGTAATTTTTTTTTGCCAAGTTGATTTATGCCCCTGGCCAAAGCTTTTCACTGGAATTTTTAGCTTGTTGGCATTGTACAGCTTGTGGGCCACTCTTTAAGCCCTCTCTGGAAATAATGTCTGAATACCATATTGCAGAAGAGGAAAGTAAACATCTGGCAGTCTGGCCCTCCAAACAGGCAGTGTTTATCACCATTAAATAAATCTCTCTCCCACTTCCTGGCCATCAAAGTGGCTGCTTGTAGGAGGAAGTGGCTCAGCTGAAAGCCAGGTGGTTGTATTGTCCAGACCAGAGTCTCCCAAGCCTTGTGAGAACAGCTGCCAGAGAAGTCATGAGAAGTATTTGCTTCTAACCTCAGAACAAAGCCAAGCTGCCACAGATCAAGCCTTGAATTGCATCTCTACAAAGCTTGTCATCTGCACTAAGAAATTACTGATTGCTACACCCATTGGGTATTTTCCCTAGCTGTGGTGTATGTGAGAGGCTTTGAAAGGAATGAGAGCATGCTTTGGTACTAAGAAACCTTTAAAGAAAAAGACAGGGAGGATTAAGGATCATAGAAATGTTATTTTAATCAATAGTAGAATCTTCTTCAGGACTAGTACATTAAAGTGCTGTCTTTATGCTACAGAGGCTTAATAAATATGTGCATAAAAAGAAACATCTCAAATAATGTTATTGATGACTTAAAATGCTAGCAGGCTATTTTCAGGTGACAATTTTCACTCAGATCTCTCTTCAAAGTGCAATCTAAAATCATTTGCGTAAAGGGGGAGAATCCTGCATTCCAGAAAAGTTATGCTCAAGCAGTAGCAAAGTTATCATGGTAACCCTTTGATAGCCTTATCTGCATTATTTGGTTATAATGTGGTTGGTGTTTCATTCCCACATAGACCCTCCAGTCTTTATGGGTTGAAGAAGTTTTTTAGAAGTTTTACTTTTGAAACGGCAGCATGTCACCTTGATAGATGGGCTGTTGTATCACACTTATTTGCTCAGCAGTAATGGAGACTGAATCATATCCCAGTAATCAGATTCCATTTCAAGTATCTTCTTGTTCCCTTTTCATAGGAATAGGTGATTAGGAATCATAGGAATAGGACCTGGAGGGTTTGGATATTTGGCTTTTCATGTTCCCCTTCCCACAAGTCAGCTCCTTTTACACGTTAACTACTAATGTGTATTTTGTTCTGATGTGCTATTCAGAATATAAACACAGGGGTAGATTGCATTTCCTGCCTCACAAAAGGAAGGCAGTAGGGCTTCTTGTTATAAAACTTAATTTGATTCTACGTTGAAATTTTATACTAAAACCAATTTTTGTGTTTGCCACTTTTTTTAAGGTGCTGGGAACCCAAATTGCAAAGTTGCAATTGTAATGGGCAAAACCAAAAACTCATCAGCATCCAGGTAAGAATTCCTAGGAGACTCAGAATCCCCTAAAACTTGTTCTCTGGAGGAGTTGCTGCTTGCAAAAATGTTAAGTGAAATGCCATTAGTTGCCTTGACCAGTTGGCTTGCTCCTGAATTAGAAAGATGTTTTAAACCTCAGCACCTATCTCTTGTAGCCTGAGTTCCTGTTTTGCTGTCAGATGCTGTTGACTGAGTCCTCCCAACCTTTCCACTGTTACCATCTTTCATTGGCATGCTTCCCACCTCTCTCCATTGCACCAGCAATGCACCAGTGTTTGTGCAGCTGTGTGATGAACTGGATCAGGAAATTCTGGGGGCTTCACCAGCTTTATCTTGGTCACATACCTTTTAGTCTGCGTCTGTTGTTTAGTCTGCATCAACAACTAACAACTCTGGGTTACAATTTATTTTCTAAGTGTAGTGTATAAAACAATTAACACCAGGAAGAATTAAATAATAATGCTTATATAATAAAACCAAAACTTTTCAGAGCTTTCCTGATCAGAATGGGCACAAGTGGCACATCAGAGACCTGAAGTTACTGATTAAGTTTTCCACAAAGTTATCTGTAGATACAGAAAGTTAAATCTGAAACATGCAGTGTTGGTAAGGTGATGCTGTGTAAGCAGAGGGCATTGCACATCTTAAATCAGATATACTCATTTTATTCCTGTATGTGTAAATATGATCCTTACCTCTTCTTCTTTGACACAAACACATTCAACTCGTTACCAAACTAGAATTGCAAGCTTTTGCAAAAATTTATACAAGTAATGAATGAAATGCTCCATGTCTGGTGTATTAATATCACACAGCTTGTAATGCAAAAGAATTGTGACATTTATATCTAAGATGGATTTTAGCCCAAATTCCATGGATAATCTGAAGTTTTTAGGTTTGGCTAGGTTCCACCAAGAAACAATCAGTAACTTGCACACAGCACCCAGGAAGGTTTGCCTGGAAGTTATACAGACAGTGGCATCTGTTGAGCTCTTAGAAGCTGAAGAGAATTTAATGGAGGGGATCATGTGACACTCCACTTGCTAGAACTGGAGATTGAATTTAGAGACCTGGGACATCACCTCCAGTTCTGTGTGACTAAAACCTAAATATTCTGAAGGAATGTAAACATGGGGATGGATTTCTCGTTCCTAAGCTGGTAGGCAAGCCAAGATGATGATTCTGATAAACTGATTTTGAGAACAAAACAGAAAGATAGAAGGGGAGAAACTGATAGGGTGATACAGAACTGTGTGCATAGAAGTGACAGCAGCAGCAGGAGTTTCTCAGTCATGGTGCCTTAGATGCCACTAATATATTTTCACTTGTTGACTGGTGGGTCAAGAAGGGTTGAAGCCACACTGTGTGGACAGGATGGTGCAGGTGGTACAGATAAATCTCAGCACTGGCTTTATGCGAGTCCTAATTTAAGGAAGGAAAATTAAAAAAGCAGAAGGGACAGACAGAAGAGAGGCTCAGAGGTAACTGTGCTTTTTGTCTTGATCAGGTACAAGCAGCACAGTATGGTTATTGTTCCCATGGACACCCCAGGGCTGAAGCTGATAAGACCTCTCTCCGTGTTTGGCTACATGGGTAGGTGATCATATTTATCAGCTATATGTGTTTTAATTTATTAGCAGGCTCAGAAGCTGCAGTTATACTAATAAATATTGTGTATTAAATAAATCAGTAAAATGGATATATAGAAGAAGGGTTAGGAACTGGAGGCCTCCTTCATTTTATCCTCCTTCATTTTACCCTGCTGTTGTGTTTTCTGTTTTTGTAGATGAGATCCATGGAGGACATTTTGAGATACACTTCAATGATGTGCGAGTACCTGTCTCCAATATAATACTGGGTGAGTTTTAGCACTGATTTATTTTTAATACATACAACAATGAACCAAGTTTTATGAGACAGTAGTTTGTGTCATGAATCACCATAAGTTATTTTAAACAGCTCTGGTCAGTTGAGGGAGCCCACTCTTCCTTTAGCAGCCTTCCTGCTGTTTGAACCTTATTTAGAGCAGATGGAAGCAGGGCACCTCTGGCTGTCATGCAAGTATCATTGCCTTGAGGTAGAGCAAAGCAAAGCCTTTAAGTGCTGTTTTTCCCCCAAAACCAGCTCTTGCAGGCTTTACAGACTTTTAGAAAGAATGTTGTGCTGCACTCCATGGCCGGTACTTGGCAGAACTGAAAAAGAAATAACAAGCAGGCCACCAGTGTGTTCCCCTGCAGGGAGAACTCTGCTCTCTCACTTAGTGGAGATCCTGATTTCTTCTATTTCCCCTCTGCTTCTATTATTTTGCTATGGGATCACTTCTGCTTGGAGCCTTGGACCCTTCCAGGAGGCAGTTTGCAGAGCCTGTTTTTCTTTCCAACCAGGAGAGGGCAGGGGGTTTGAGATCGCCCAGGGCCGCCTGGGGCCGGGCCGGATCCATCACTGCATGCGGTCACTGGGGGCGGCCGAGGCCGCTCTGGAGATCCTGTGCCAGCGCGCGGCTCAGCGCCAGACCTTCGGCAAGAAACTCTATCAGCACGTAAGCACCTTCCCTCTCTGGCCCTGGCACACACGCCACACACTGACCTTAGTTCTGCCCAGCACAGCCTTGTGGCTCTGATAATGGACATGGCAGCAGCTGTGCCCTAACCTTGAATTCCTATTCATAAACCTTTGGGTGGCAAAGGGAAAAAAAAAAACAAACCACATTGCAAGGCTCCCATTTTTCACCATAATCTACAGGATCTTTTTCTTTTTTTTTCCCTTTGCAATATGCAATGAATTAGATACCTTTTGCTGGATTTGAATGTGGATTTTTTCACTGTGTGTTGTTCTCTGCTTTTCTTGATCAATTTGGACAGGTATTTTTTCAGGCATGCAATTTATGCTTCTGTTACAATCTGAGTTCACCATTTTTGTGTATCCATTCTGTCACCTGGCTGTCTCCATTCAGAACCACTGGAGACACTTAGGGGTCTAAATTTCACTGAAAATGTTACTTCTTTGATCAAATATTTGTAGCTGCTTATGAAAGTACAGACCACATCAAGGGAAGATTGGAGATCCTTACTCTTATCTTGCTCAGGATTGAAATACTTTTTCATGAGCAAGAGCTTGCTAAAATAATGTTAGTCTGCTTTCTATAAGAACCATCAGAGTTTGGTAGTTGGCCTGTCATATTTCAAGCATTCCTTAATCTTTCCCAACAGCTAGGATAGCTTTATTGGAAAAAACAAGTAAAAGCAATGGAAAGAGGAAACTGAATTAGCATCTGGCCCAGATTGTATCAAATTGTTTGTGCAGATCCAGAGGGAGCAACTTTACATATCTGTATTTCCAGTCATACCATTTCCCAACTTCCCTTCACCACCATAACCTAGGATGAGTAAGAGGTGCATGAGGCACACTCTGGCTCTCAAAAGCTGGCTGAAGTAACAGTGATGTTTGATGAAGCCACAGGCCTCACTGGAGGCAGCTGCTGAGCCCATGCAGGTCCTTCAGTGAGGATGGCTAAGACAAGGTGAGGCTGGTGGCTTCCCTGAGTACCAGCGTGCCTGCCCGCCCCAGGCCATCATTTATGACCCCAGGAGCTGTCGACTGAGGAGAACTGAACACCCCATCTAGGTTCAGATCACCTTTGCTGCAACCAGCCAAGCTGAGCTTCCAGGCTGCACTGAAGCATGTGCTGCACATTTGCTTTTGTGTCCTACAAAATCCACAGCCCTAGAAGTGGAGGCTGGGTCAGGCTCCAAACAGTTTTTGCACTGACAAGCATCAAAAATATTTGTTTCTCCTGTGGTATGTTGGCTGCAGGGGGGAATTAGCTAAGAAGAGCAGGGAAGGGCTGCCAAGATCATAACTTCATTTTGGACCCAGACAGTTACTAATTTATCATCAGTCAGAGGCAGCAGGCACCACCCTGCAGCTGTTTGCCTCTGTGTCATGCACCACACAGCACCGGTTTAAGCAAAACAAGGAATTCCTCTCCCCTGTCACCCCCTTATTTCTATACACTGGGGCTTATCATATGGAGAGAAGGCTGTGAGGGGTGGTAAGAGGAAGGAAAAAGCAGGCATGGAAGAGCTTCTGGAAAATGGCCAGCACACAGTGGGGTCTGATCAGGTGCCAGAATCCACAGGTTTTCCCTTTTCTTGTTTCCTGGCAGAGCAATTCTTTTCCTATCTTTAATATTTCTGTTAGTCAAGTGTTTTCTTTATTATGCCTCATCTTAGATATGCTTTAATTTGCACACAAGTGGCTGTAGGTTGGCTGAACGTGCACACGCTGAGGAAGAGGGGTAGCTCCACGTGTGCTCAGAGGCATTAACTGATGTCCTGGTGTTGGCTTTGGGATCTGCAGGAAGTTGTTGCCCACTGGATTGCGGAATGCCGCCTTAGCATAGAACAGGCTCGCCTGCTCACGCTGCAAACAGCTCGCAAGATCGACATGCTGGGCAACAGAAGAGCAAGGAGAGAGGTAAATTTTATTTTTGGATGCAATGCCTGTGCATTCAGCTGGTTAAAAGACAAGGTAAAACATATTGTTAAACACTCTTATTCTAAGTGTAGAGTATAAATCCATGTTGAAAATAGCCTTAAGATATGCTTTTAATTGCCAGAAGATTGGGGAATTAGTCAGAAGTGGAGATGAATCTGTTCAAGCATTGCTTGCTTGTCTCAACACAGTAAGATAGTTTGGAGTGACTGGAAACAGTTTTGCCATCCCCTGGGAACATTAGAGCTCTCATCCTACCCCAAGGGGAAGGAATGCACTGAGAGATACAAATATTCAATAGAAGTGTTAGGTAAATATTTTCACTTGCTTATGAAACTGTTACTGCTAATGTGAGTTCTTCTAACCACAGGTAGCCATGACCAAAGTGGTTGTTCCACGAGCTGTACTGAAAGTGATTGACTGTGCAGTTCAAGTGTGTGGTGGAGCTGGAGTTTCTCAGGATTTTCCTTTGGCGTTCATGTGAGTAAAAGGAGATTGCCTGTAGATTCTAAGCATTTCTTTTATAATAATTTATAACACCAGTACATGCTGTTTCACCTCAGCATGAAGTAACAGTGTATGTCCCTTTAAGCTACAAAATTTAAACCAATTGTTTTTATAGTGCAATTAGCCTTACAAAAAATAAAAGCTGGCACTGGGCCTAAAATAGTTCTTATCAGCAGTAAAGAGGATGTGCTTCTAAAACTTACTGTTATCTCTTATGGCCTTGGGGAGAAGCGAAACTTCTGAATTCCCAGCCCACCCACCTCAATCGTGCCAGGAAGATTTTGCTGCAGTATCTCCCACGTGACAGCACTTTTCAAGCAAGGAGTGTCAGAAGGGCAGCAAAAGCAGTGCTGAGAGCTCCGTGTGGCTGCTGTGGCAGGGCAGGAGGCCAGGCTTAACGCAGCTCTCCCCCCACAGGTTCGCGTCCATACGCACCTTGCGCCTGGCAGACGGGCCTGATGAAGTTCATCTCTCAACCATTGCAAGGTGGGAGCTCCTGGATCAGTCCAAGAAACTCACTGCAAAAATCTAATGTCACATAAAGCCTTCTCTAATGGAGGGAAGATTAAGCAAAAGTTTCAGTGTAATAATGGTATCTAAGATAAAACTGAATGAACACAAAAACTTGATTCTAACTGGGAGCAATTCTCTCACTGTTTTCAATTATTACACTTAATAATTATGGGCTTGCTTTTAAGAATTTGCAGAACACCAGGCAATAACTAATCTGGGTGTCTTTATAATACTAAATAAAGTCTATTTTCAAACAGGCCTGAAGTGCTTTCTTTGTTCTGAATCAGAGCATTTTATCCTTTTATTGTAGACAAAGCAGTTTAGAGTCAGAAGTACCACACAATTTAATTTATTGCAAGCTAGGCTAAACTTTTATATTTGTTAAATTGACAAACACTGGAGGTAGTAAGTTGCTTTTTCTTTTCCAAAGCTCAGTTACAGTCCAACCCTCTACTCCCCAGTTCCTGCTCACAGCTGCCTTCCTTGTCACCGAGACTACACTCAGTCCTGCCCCCAGCCCCATTCAAGTGAGGCTCAGGGCAGCACAGAAAGCTGGAGCCTGGAATGATTCCTGGAGTTAGGATAATCACTTCTCAGCTTACACAGGGCTGGTAACTTAAGGGCAGTGAAGTTAAGGACACAAGGGTTTACTGTTTGCATGAACAAACAAACTCCCCCCTCCTGTTGGAGCCTGCAGAGAACACCCTGGGCTTGGCTCAGTCCTCAGGATGAGGCTGTGCCAGTTCCGTCCTTGAGCCCAGAGCCGAGCGCTCGCCTCAGGGTGTCCGGCTACAGCTGCAGTGGTCACTCAGGGTACAGTGGCAGAGTACCTAGAACTAGAAGCATTCCATGAAGTTCTTTACCTCATGATACTTAAAACCAAGATTATAACCTCTTTGGAGAAAGCAGTCATTCTCATTTACATTTCCATCCACCTTAATTTCCTCTTGCTTCCTGCCAAGAATGTTTTCCAGGAAGTTGAGAGTGTCAGCAGGTCAGTGGCTGAAATGCACTGCAACTACAAAACCACCTGCACTACTACATATGGTTCAGGAGTTCTGCTCTAGGCTGTCAAAACCTGCACAAAGTGTTTTTTCAACCAAGAATGCCCAGGATCACATTTAGCCACGTTCCAGTTAGGGTCTTGGACTGCCCTCATTTCTCTCACTTTCAATGAACAACTAGACAAGAATACCACCTTTATCTCATTAACAAGGCTCTTAATTCCCTTTATTTTAAAATTCTATGTACATATGAATGATCTGTATAATGTACACTCAATATAGAAAGTTTTTATATACTGGATAATGTATAGAACATTTCACAATTACACTAATTTCTTACATAACATGTCAACTTTTTAAGGTTTTTTTGCTGAAGCTTCATCAATTTGGTCAAGCCAGTTATACATACAAATGTCTAATGCTGTTTGATCCGAGGAAGAAGATAATGTTAATGATTAAGGACATGAGTGAACTGGTGCAGGAACAAACCCTTTCAGGTCATGTTCAGTGGAAGTGATCACATCAGACTGAGAAATGAAGGGATGCCCTTCTAGTGGGGTCGGTGAGGTCAAAGTTATTTTAGCCCAATTCCTCTAGACTGTAGCTCAACTCCAGTCATGCTAATTCAGAAAATATAAAAACTAGGAAAGTTTGATTCACAGTCTTGTAAACAAATATAAAGGAACAAAATGTGCTTATGTACAACAAGAAAAAATTCTTGTGTACCCATTTCAGCTGATCCACAGAGTGCTTTCTTGTGTTACAGTGTGGAAGTTAGAATCACTGACTTTTCCTAGAAAAAAAAGTCATAGAAAAAAGGAATAACACTGTCATAAACACCTGGCAAGGCAGTAAGTTCACTTCAATGTATTGGAGGAAAGTGCTGTTCCTCATCACTGGCCAGTCTGCCTTTGTCTCTTCCACAAGGATTTCCAGTCCTTAGCTGACATCTCCCACTTCGTTGTCTACCGGGGGTGGTACGTTGGGCATTACGGATGACGTCGTCCCTGCAGTGAGGTAACCAGCAACTCCAGGGCCTTTCAGGGGGAAAACAAATACTGGGGATTAGTTCTCCTTCCACTGGGTGACTGAACAGCTTTATTCCCTCTGGTAACACTCAGATACATCATCTGAGCCAACCAGACACCTTACACAGGAACATTTAAGAGTTTTTGTTTAGATTTTCTAAAATTTAGGAACACTAGAAACTAAGACTTCTTAGTCTACCAAGTGGAATAGCTTGTGGGGACCATTTTTGGGCTTGCTCAGTTTTTTTTTACTCTGATGTGCCAAGTAAGTGAAAAAGGACCCCAACCACCTGCATTACCCATCTCACCTTCCATCGTGGAAGCAACAGTAGAGCAGGGATGGCATTCCTTTGTTAAAGAAAGGCCCTGCCATGGAATTAAAGTCAGTTCACGCATGTGTTCAACTACTGGGCTCCTTGTGTATCTTTTCAGTGTTTTAAAGGATTTTCCCAGCCTGCATAGTTCCAGGAAGCCCAATGGGCTGCCCCATGAAGAAACAGAACTGCCTAAAGCTTGTCTAGCCAGCATTTTGTGCCTTCAGTTGGAATAAAATGACAGCATTCTTGGGATAACAGAAATTCTATACTGGAGATGCAGGACTCACACCATTACTAAGTTTCTATGTTGATTATAATAGGAGCAATCAGTTTTGCCCTGCAGGCAAAGCCCCTCTCCCTGGAATTAAAGCCTGGAATTAAAAATTTAGTCATACTGAAACTTTCAACAAATGCAATAAAAATTTAGGTTGCAGCATGAAGTGTTTTAACAGTAATTTTTATCATATTAGTGACTAGAGAACTGATCACCCACAGAATGTTCCTGCACCAATACAGCGATCAACTTGGTCTCAGACCTGCAGCCTACACTGCCAATATTCAACATACTAAGTTCTGCTGGGTCCTGTACTCTTCCCCTTTAAGCCATTCTCACTGAGTTCTCCCAAATTTACTATTCTTTCCTGCCCCACCCTCCTTTCTCCCACTTCAGCCAGAACATCAGAGCCTGGTTGGTCTCCCTGCAAAGAGTCCCACACTAGTACTGCAAGGCAGAGAGCAAAGCAAGCAGTGCCTCTGGCAATAAAAAGCTCTCTGGCTGCAGGAGGGGACCTCTCCCTGCCAGCCCATCAGTGGAACCTGCCAAGTGTCACACCCACTGCTACCCATCCTAGTGCAAAAATTCCCCATAGTTATCTCGTGCCTCAAGCTTTTCCATTTTGGAGGAATCCTAACACAGTTCCAAAGCTGAATTCCTGTGTAGCACCAGCAAGTGTCAGTGCAGGTGTCAGTGCAGTGTGTTGGTGCTGGGCATTGTACAGCTCTAGGACATGCATCTGTAACTCGGAATGCAGCGAGCGCAGCGTGCAGTCTGCGAGGTGGTATCTACCTGCTTTAGAGAGCTACACAGAAGTTAGCAAGCTGCCTGACACAGCAGATCTAAAGCCCACTTCTCAGGTGAAGGGGACTGCTGCCAGTTAGAAGGGAAGGAGAAGAGACACCTGAGGGAAGAGAAATAAGCAAGGGAAGTTTCAAGGGAAGTGCAAATAGCAAAGCAATTTGAAGCAAGACATAAGGCAGAATACAAGATAAGAGAAGTTAAAAATAAAGCTTGGTTTCCATCTACACTTTGCATTTGTACAGCACCTTCATTCTACATTGGCAAGCACTTAAACATTAGGCGGTTTAAAAGCAGCATGGGCCTTAAGGCCATTGGAAAACTGTATTGCCCCCAGTCTCAAGCCTGACCACATCTGATAAAGTTTCAGTTCTTGGCCAATAATCAATCAGCATTTTCTTCCTATTCCTAAATTTATAGCATTTATGAAATTTAAATTTATAGTATTTATGAAAATACCAAGGAAATTCAATACAAACTGAATCAGTTCCAGTGTTGTCAAACTGGTATTAAACAATACAAAACCAGAAAACCCCTGTTCAGTGCTAAAGCGCCGAGTCCTGTGTGAAAAAAATACATCAAGTGTTCCAATACCTACTCTCAAAACACAAGCAACTACTTCTAGAAGGTGTAGTTCCTGACTTGAAAGGCCCAAAATACATGCTAGTATCTTGCAGTAAAACTTGGCCATCTGATTTACACCTCATTAGTTCAGTTATGCTCAAAAGCTTCACCAAAATTCCTAAATTGGGTTAGATGAGAAAGTTCCTTGTGGCACATAGCTGTGTCCACACTGGCTTGTCCCAAAGAACTTTAAAACCTCACCTGTGAGGCAAAGCTTTTAAGACCAAGCATTTGTTCAGCTCATGGCTACTGAGGAGTCAGAAGCTTGCAGACAGTTTGCTGCAATGCCATTATTTGCTACATCTGAAAATATTTTATATGATAGTGATGTTTTGGACTGTGACACTGTGTCTGTCAAGTGCTCAAGTGAAGGAAGAACAGGAGCAGATTTGCAGTGACATACTCGTCTGCACCATGCAAGGAAGTTCCCTCAGTTGCCAACCTCACTGGGCACACAGTGCACAGCACACACAGCTAAAATGCTCTTCACCACCAGTGGGGCTGGGGTGCATCTGAGGTGCCATTTCAATCTTGGTGGCACCAGCAGGGGAGCCACCCAAGGTGCACCACTGCAGCAGTGAAGCAAATGCTGCAAGCTCCACGTACAGGCACGAGGCCACCCTGGCAGGCCACTGATTCTGGCTGGAACACAGCCTCATACTCCAACCTATTAGTATTCCAACTTTTCCAACAGTACAGCTACCTGCCTAACCCTAAAGTTGTGTTAATTCACACAGCCAGCTGATATAGACAGGTTCTAGAACTGAAGTAGACTGATCCTAAGAAAGCATGGAAAGCTATTGTCATTCATCAGTTTCAATTACATCTTTGCTCTATCACTACAGAGTACTTGCAAGTCTTGCCAGTGCCCAGATCCTGTTGCTAAGTATGTACAGTAAAGACTATGCAGAGAAATTAATTCTCAACCAGCAAGAAGTTTACCTTTTAGTAAGTGTTTTAAAAACTTACTGTATTTTTACAGCACTGACTGTTCAGACCACGTGATGGCACTAGATCCTGGGGATAAACAGTAACTCCAGAGTCCAGTGTGACAATTAAGTAACAGTTCAGTATAATTCAGAACATAAACAGGAAAGAGTTGCTAACCTGTGAGGTATCCTGATGTTTGTGTATCAGAAATGAACAAGTCGTGTTTCTGATCCTTGAAGGCACTCCAAACAGAAGAACGGGACAGAATTTCATTTACCTGCAGTATTTGAAGAGATAACAGAGTGAGCAAGTGCCATTTGTCATGTTCTAGGCAAACAAACCCATTTTCTATTGCCAAACCATTCTGAAGGAATTACACCAAATGTGGCAGTAGTTTAGGCTGCAATATGGAATTTGTGCACATTTCCAAGGAGACTTGCTTTTCCATGTGAATTGTGCAGCTGAACACAATGATCGAAAGAAGTTATTCAGTAGCTTCACTTTATCCTTTGTTCCCCAGAAAGGTGACAAGGAAAAGCAACTCTAGAAGCTGCCCTTGCCACTCACTGACAGCTGAGGGAGAATAGGACTTTTCCTGTACTAGAGCAAGATAGGGACTACTTGGAAGAAAGACTATTCCAAGTTTCCTCCCCTTGAGAAAGCTTTCAACAAAAGGGTAAGAGGAAGGCATTAAGAACTAGCACAGTTACTGGGACAAATTTACTTAGATATACATCCATAATGCTGCTGCACTTATGTATTTATTTAAAAAACAGAAGAGAAATTTACATTTATAACAAGTTCTGAAGAGTTGTCAGTTAAAGATAACCAGCTCATAGAACATTTCTGCACTTGGAATTTGTCTTTTTTATTAGTGGCCTTCACATGCATTGAACCGACGACTTCGCCACAAGCAAGAGGTGAAGAAATTCCAAACCATAATCATTTTGCAGTGGCAGTGCGCTAAGACTTTAGGTGGAATGATGTACATGACAGCCAGAAGATTAAACAAGGGATGTTCAGAGTTTGGTACACACCTACCAAGTGTCAAAGCCCAGATAAGGACTTGTGAGTACTCACCTGTTCCCCATACTGCAGGCTACGAGACATGGATTTCAGAGTCTTAACAATCTGAGCTTTTGTTGCAGATGGACTCTCCAGGGTCTCAAGACCAACACCTTCAAGCAGCTTCAGAAGATAAGGGACCAAATCTGCTTTCAAAGCCTGCAAACATACCCAAATGAGTTGTCTTAACATGGACAGGAAGCTCCATACAGAATTTTTATATCACTACCATTAGTGTGAACCAGAAGTGCCAACAGTTATTACTACAAATGCCAAGATGAGTCCATTTTTCCTGAGCTGTATGAATACAAACAAGAAAAAGCAAAGATACTGTCCAGCAATTCTTCTCTATCTAGGTGAAAAGTCAGCTGAATTAGTTGGCATCCCACTACACTTTCTCAGAGGACACAACACTACCCTGTGCATTAAGCTTCAATGCTCAGGTAACATCCTTGAACAGGTCTTTTTAGATAAAAAACTCTTCCAACCAGAAAAGCACATCAGTTAAGTGTTCAGGAGGCTCCCCAGATGCCATTTAAGTTGAACAGTTTAAATATACCACATTTCCACAGTCTGAGATTGTACTACTTACTTGGGCTACTAAGTCAGTTTGTTCCTTCTGAAACATTCGATTCAGTGTCTCACAGGCTATCCCAACCACATCCGATCTCTTCTTCATTCCATTCATGAGAGGGCCAATGGTCTCCAGCGATGCCATCGCTCTAACACAAAGCTGTAGAGAGAGAAACATCCTGAGGATTCTATTTTGTGCCAAGATTAATGGTTATTGCAGATATGGTCAGCCAACACCACATATTTCTCAGGGTCTAATCTAGCAATTCTCCATTAGTTAGCTATAGGTCCCTTGCTACACCGTATTTACAGTCAGAATAGTCCTTTTAGGAACACTACTAAACAATACAAGTACCTCCAGCTATGCTTTTCTCCCCTCAAGCATTAAATGATTCAGTACCTCATTGTCTGACAATATGTGCATGACACGAATGGCACTTTTAGGAATGGCATTGTTCTTGTGATTCATAGCCTGGATTATCTTGTGAAGATGACCAAGAGGAGGAACTTGATCAGCTAGCTGAGGCTGGGCACTGAACAGGCACACAGTTGCTGTGGTAATGGTTTCTAAAGTTTCCCCCTGCAGAAAATTGAAAATCAACAGAAAATGGAAGTCAGTAAAGCCTTATGTATCATCATAATAACAACATTTCTCAATTGCTTTGCATTATTAATTTTTTCCCTAATGCTTATATATCATTTTGCTCTCAAGCTGTTAAAACAACAAGTGAAGAACATGATTATCAGCTCCAATAGTGGCAAACACTCACTAGTTCCATAAAGACAGATCACACAGGAATTCCAAAGCGCTATTTCTAGCATATTGAGAATCCAGTGTATCTGGCTAAGTTGCTTGGTGGAAGCACTGATAGCATGGATGTTTGGCTGACCACCTGAACTCCTAAAAGATTCTGCAGTCTGTGCAGAAGCACTCGTCATACCTTGTGTATTCTATGTGCCTCTACAAACTGCTGTCACATCTTTGTAATAAAGGTGCCTGTTTTATTCAACATGCTAGTTAGCTTCCATCCTGCAAGTATAACACAGAATCTGTCTGAGCACTGTTTAAAAATTAATTTTTAAACTGTAACACATTTGCTGTACTCTTTACACTAAGGTGGCAGCCTTAGTCACATAATTTATACCAGAGTGGGAACTTAGTGTTGCAGAAAGACAACAAAAGTCTCAAGAACAGAAAATTTTTAGGTGGTGTAGAACAAGTGCCATTTTTTTAGGTTGGTCAGTCATGGAATAATTAAAAGACACTTCATTTGTTAAGCCTTATCTCTAGCACAAAAGAAGTCTCTAAGACTTAACTGAAGCTAATTCTATGGCTTCAGGAACTTTAAAAACCTTGACTCATGTTCAAAAGTTGCCTAAACATATCAGCACACTTTTAGAGAGAGTCAGAAAGCAGACAGAAAACACCATTTATGATGGGAATAAAGTGTGAGAATCTAAATTAATCAGAAACTAAAAGAATAAAAACTTAAGAACGCTAAACACCTTCAAAGCATAGAATCAGAAAAAAGTTATCTTACATGGGGGTTATTTTTCTCCAGTAGTTCAGTAAACTTTTCCAACAGTGCAATGAGAAATTCTCTTGGTTTCCGTAAAACCCAGGCCGGCTGGGCAATAAAAATCCTGAGGAAGACTCCCCCCACTGAAAGTTCACCTTCTGCCTCACCGTACACCACAGCAAAATCTTCAGGCAACTGTTGAATTGTAAAGTAAAAGTTATTGACAAGGCTATTTGAGAGACCTAAAGCTGTTTCTCTAAGTGGGCAGGGTCACTAACTGCATACTCCGAAACAGAGCTGTGCAAGGCCAATCAACCCTTCATCTTGAAAGAACACAAGGTAAGAAGTGACAGCAGAAAGAACAGTGCAGTGCAGGCAGGACCACTACAGTGAACTTTTCTTTCAAAGAACACAATTAACTGAACCTACAACTGCAACAGTGGCGAACCCTAGTCCAAAAGAAGCACCAGCAATGAGGCTGATGATACAACAGCTCTTTCCTTCCTTGCACACTTCAGGGAAAGACTTCTCATCATCACTCCAGGGAAGTTTCCAGTTTTCATCTGGATCAAAATAGACATTATGATGTGTTCAGACACTGGTTTAATGTTGAACTAGAGGACTGTTGGAGAGAAGTAATGTCTAGCTTTTCACAGATACTGGAAATCACTACATGCTGAAACACCTCATTGATGGGACTGATGCGAGGGAATGGCTTAAGGACTCAAATATTTTTTGAGACCCAGTGACTTACTAAAGTTACTTCACATTTACCAAGAGCAGGTTTACTATGGCTGTGTAGTGACAGGACTTTTTCCAGCAAGCCAGTAATGTCTCAATATTCTCCTTTGTTGCTGACTTTTGATGAATTTTAGAATCACCTAAACTATCAAAATGTTCAGAGTACGCTGACAGTGGTTTTATCTATAAGTGTCTCATTTCAAGCTGTAAGCTAGTAACAATAGCATCAATTCAACATGAAACCAGTTCTGTTTTCAGTTATGAACAGTTATGTTTACAGCACAGCAGTGAACTCCTGTTAGTACTTTAAGAAAAAAGCCTGTTAGAGTCCAACACAAGCATCTATTATCATGTGGCTTACAGCCTCCCTGGACACACCCAAAGTAGAAACAATATACTTTTACCTTCCAGTTAGTGTCAGGGTTGTCCCTCTGAAGTTTAAAGTGCCTTTAAAAAGAAAGTAAGTTTTAATGAGCAGTAAAAGAAGCAGTTGTCTTCTCTACTTGACACCTTAGTCTCCCTCCATCATTGTGCAGCAGCTCCAGATTCTAAGCTCCGTTCTACCCCCATTGTATCCCTCCAAATCCTACAGCAGTGAGCAAATACCTGGACTGTGCACAAACTGCACCTGCATCACTGACTTACTGGTACAGTGCAGAAACAGTGAACAAGTTTATTTCACTGAAGTCTGGCTTGCAAGAATTCTACTTTTTACAGGCAGAGCTCTGTCTCACAGTTCTTCTACAGCAACTCTGGTTCACTGCCAGAGAGTGTCTCAGTAAAAGATAACTGAGTCAGAAAGTTTCCACGTACTCAAGCATCATTTCTCGAACTGTTGTTGACACTTTCTCTCTGGAGCTGTCATTCCAAATTAACTCTGGATTTTCATGGGTTCCCTCAAAGATATGAACAGCAGCTTCAGGGTTGTCTCTCATGGCATCCATGAAGACTCCAGGTAAAAATTTCATTAGTGTGATTCTAACCTAGAAGGGATGAACATAAATGACACTTAGTCTATCATATGACAAACTAACTGACAGGACAAGCTGACAGAAATAGAAAACTCCACAATGTCCAACTGTCTTTAATGCAAGAATTGTCAAGTTCTAGACTACTATACCACAAAATAAAATAGTGCCATCATTTCAAATAGCAATAGCCAGTGACACTGAAATCTAGGTCTCTACTGTAAAATCATTACAAATGGAAATCAAACTGCTTATACAAGTTACTGTACATACAACAGTTTCTAGAAGTCTGCTCACAGATTAGAAGTTAAATTTTGAAAAAGCCTGATTGCTCCTTACATGAGTCTTTCAGACACAGAAGAGGATTTTTTTGCCCACCTTTAGAGAGATGAAGGTAATATCAAGAAAGATTCCCACGTGAGCTGTTAAGATTCTTACCTTTGGACCCACCAGCTTATCTGCAGTCATTTTAGCAAAAAGCTCTGCGGTTTGGGCTCGGACCTGCGGATGAGTTGAGTTGCAAAACATATCTAATAAGTAGATCAAAGCACCTGTAACAAAGAGATAGGGAGCATCCAATTTAGTATATTTTTCTGGTCACATGTAGTAGAAAATGTCCAGTTCCAGACTGATTATTTTAAAGGGAAGAGTGGCCACTCCATGCACTTAAAGCCCATTGTTGAAGAAACATTTGCTTTCAGTGTAGTACTGTACCTTTTGCCATGGCCTCTTTAATTATTTTTGTGCTAGATGTCAGAGCATACAAAGTTTCAAGGACAAGCTGCCGACCTGTCAAAATAAAGAGCATTGAGAACTTTGTGTCACAGGGAATACATAAAGGAAGATAAATGTAACTCATCTCAACAGAAAACTGTATCAAAACTGCAATAAAGCTTCAGAAAATTACAAGCTTAGGGATTTCTGCTTACACTACATTAGTTAAGGAACGTCAAATCAATCCCACATTCCAGCATAACTTCTTAATTAGATGCTAATTAGCTAAATTCCCAGAAATAATTTGTTAGTGGAACACTACAAAATTCAGAAGCAATGAGAATACCTGCATTTCCTATGTTTCAGGTCACATATTTAAGACAAAAAACTGGTCATACACAGCATTTTTGAAAATCATCCTTGTTAGCTTTGGATATGATAGTCATTAATGTTTAAATCAGCTGACAGAAGTGACTTAGCACATTATAGGGCCTGTGATGACAGAGATGGTCTAAATTTTCCATTTGTTTAAAAAATTATCTATTTCTATTCCTGCTTCCTGTCACCTTCTTTAAAGAAATCATGATTTCTGTTTGGTAGCTCTGATTTTCTTATCTAGCAGGGGAATAACTTATAGTTGAAGAATCTTATTAGGACTGGGCATAGAAACACCATGCTTCATTGAGGATGTATTGCAGTACTGTCTTTACTGCTCTCATTAATAGCTGAGCAACTGGAATGGAGCACAGCAACAGCTGGGAAGCCTGAGGAAAGCTTTGTTCCAATATATAGGTGTTCTTACTGTAGCTTCTATTCATAACCCAGCTCTCTATCTTATAAAGCTAACAAGACCATTGTAGCCTAAAACTCAGAGCTAATTTCAGCCAGCTGCATTCTTATAAATTCCTGAGTTGGAAACCCTTTTCCTTGCAAGATGGAGAATGCTATGGTACCTACTTGAAGGTAAGGAATGCAGGAGTGCCAGTAAGTTGGCAAGAACCATTGCCTCAGCAATGTTGTTAACACATTCTTGATTACTTGTTACTATGTTCACTACCTGCAAAAGATCAGAAACAGCACTTGATTATACTTCAGCTATTCAGACACTTCAGAAAACCCAGTGTATGAAGTCAGCCAATTCACTGGCCACCAGAACTGATATTTACAACATTTATTCCTGCCACCAAATTGTTTTGTCACTTCAGGCAGGAAGGATGCAAAGACACATGCATGACACATGTTCCTCCAAGGAGGAACTGACACCTTGGAACCCCAATCTTAGAATTTTTTAGATGCTACTCTAACAGCTACACAATCAGGTTTGTTTATGGTGACTACATAAAGCATCCAGACAGGGAGGTTGGGAGTTTGTGGGGGTTAGTTTGTTTTTTGGTTGGTTTGGTTTTTACCTCCAGAGCCAACTGCTGCACCAGGCCAGCTCCATGAACACGCAGAAGGGAGAATATCAACTTAAAGTGCCCTATGCATTCACACTCAGAACCTGCAAGAGACCACAAGTTACTCCCCATGCCAGCCAAAGCATTCACTGAAGGCCAATTCCCATGCCCATATTTCACTGTACTGAGGTGTTACAGACTACACAGCTGCACGTAGTCAGCCACAGAAGCTTCAGGAGCTCATACAGGACAGCACCTGCTACAGAGTTAAAAGATTATGGGCTCCTCTCTATTAATCTAGCTTCCAGAGAATTTCAGGTCAACAATTTTTCAAAAACAAGAGGGTAACTCCCCACTCCAAGGAAAATAAGTGATGTAATTTTTGGACTACCTAGTTACTTATAAAACAACTAAAATTCTATAATTTTATTTATCACTGACCATCAAAACCTATTGTCTTCAAAGACACTTGCCCTTTCAGAATGTCCCAGCTCAGAGCAGGCTTGCTGTCTCCAGCAGAAGCAGCTGCCTTCAGGTTTATAACTGCAAGCACGGAGAACATCCCTACCAGCTATTATTAGATGCCACAACAGTAACATGGTTTGCTTTCAGAAGTAGCATATAATACAGTAGGAAAACATCTTAATCATTTATCTCAGGCTTTTCCAGTCTGTACATTGATGTCTGCTCATTAAACTTTGCTGCCCACTCTCAAGAGCATCTTCTCCTCTTGCTTTACTACAACCCTAACACAGGTGCCATTTAGGTTAACTAGCACAAAGTACTCAGTTCAAGGAAGATTTTATGATGCAAGGAAGTTTAAAAAGCAGTTGAAGATTCTTTGAAGGATTACAGAAAGTTTCTTTCAAGAAGTTTAAGTCGTCCTAGCAACAGCAGAATTGAATTACATTTAAAACCTAATGATTCAGATATAAAAACAGATAAGGCTTGAATTTAACCCAAAATTTTGCTACATTTACTGACAGTGTTTTCCAAGTAAGGGAAATATCCAGCAAGCTTATATGGCTTACTAACAATGTTAAAGTCTGTCAGCAAGCAAAAAAAGCTTCTTTCTCACTGGAAGACACAGACTACAGAGGTTCAGAGTTTTTAAAGCTGTCCACAGAAGAGTATACTGGGGAAGTTCAGTTTTAAGCCTACCTGGGTTGTGCTTTATGACGTTTCTCAGAGCCTCCAGGGCCATTTCAACTCTCCGTAAGCGATCTCCATGTTGATTGGACTCCACTTTCCCAGTCTGAGTTATCGCCATGAGCGTATGAAGGTACTGTGCTTGTGAGCCTACGTAATCCAAGAGGCTTGCAGCAAAGGCTTTAGGGAGCTTTGAAGGAGAGATGACAGCATTTTTAGCTGTGTGGTGCAACAGTAGCCACAGTAGAAGAAACTGTATCCAAGTAACTTCTACATTTCATATCTTTCTTTCTTCCAGACAGGCAGATCTTCTCTATGGTCACTCTAACACCTGGATCACATTAAACCCTATTTCTATCTACATATACACTTAAAAAGCTGCACTACTCCAACAGGTGTGTATTTGCCCATACATAGAGACTGACTGTAAAGCCAATAGGCACCTCCTGGAATTACTGAATCAACCCAAGTGTCTGCATCACAAGCTTGTAGAGAGAAGTCATTAAGACAGCTGAAGAGTACATTTTTATGACAGACTTGGTCTCTTAATTTATTCTGCTCCAGTAAAGAGCTTTCTCATGACATGCTGATCTTGAAGGAAATTTCCATAACATTTTGTATTTTCCTCCATTCTGTTTGCACTCACAAATAAACAGGAAGAAGTGGCATTCCAAACACTAGATTTAACAGAAAATTTTTTAGCTACATCTCACCTCTAGTTGGAAGGTAGGGACCTCATTGTAGACTCTAACAAAAACCTCTCCCACAATAAGTTCCTTTGCATGGTCACTGAAGACAAAGTCAGATCCATAGCTCTTGTCACAATCACCCTTTAAGCAGAGATAAGCAGCACAAGCTCAGACAGAAAATCTTGTAGGAAGTATAAAGCTATAATCCTATCATGAAATAGGCAATACTTGAACAGAAAACTTAATGCTTCAGCAAGTCAGAAGCCCAGACTGAAACATAACACAAAATGAACAAGCAAAACCTTAGGGATTTTTGTTTTCTTTTAAAAACTACGGAATGAAGAAAGTGACTTTGGGGTAGACAACAATGGATACTTGTATTAATCATACACTTGCATCCCTAGAGTATATAGGAAAACACAAAACAGTTTTTAAAAAAAATAGTACTGAGATTTAAAGTAAAGAATATCTTACTCTTTTAATCATGCTTTCTTGCTGAGATTCCAAAAACTCAATTAATTCAGCTCGTGTCCCATTGTTCCAGATCAAGTAGGGGTTCTCTGTGTTACTGTTAAGCATCTTCAGAGTCTAAGAAAAGGAATTTACACAATGTAACACATTTACAACAGTTTTGGATCGTTATGCACAGTAATCAGCATGTTTCATAGTAATCTCATTAACAGCTAGACTAATTACACAAGCAAGTTTAAAGTAGGAAACTTCCCATATTGGAAAAACATACAGGAAAAACAGCATGTGCAAGTTATGTGGTAAAGTACAATATAAATTTTAATTTTCTGTTTGTTCTGCTCTGAAACACACTTACTTCAGATTCTCCATCCATTTTTGACAGAGAGCAGCAACTACCTGCAGTATCTCTTTACAGCTTACTTCCTTGGCACTACTTTTTAAAAGTTAAATTTAACCTTTGCTCTCCATCATCATTATGTCCTTCAGCCTTGAACAATTAACTCCATTTTTTGTTCCTGTATTTGTTTTGCAAACATTAGTCTATAAAGCACTGTTCCTGTCCATAGTGCTTGAGGCTGAAACAGTTTCTTTTCCTTGCAGTTACCTCAACTAAAAATCACACTGCTGTTCTCAGTATCAATTTGGTCTAAGAGAGTTCAGTGTTTTACAAGTGACCAGCTACTCCTTTTATAAATCACTAGAGAAAGTTTTGGCCAACAGATGCTTACCTCAGTAGGACTGACCACAGCAAGTTTTCTTGCAATGTAGGGTGTCAACATTCCAGCCAAGCTTTTCCTGATTGCTGGGTTTTCAGGAGTAGCTTGTTCATCAGAAAGATACCCTCCAAGGCGACTCAGGGCCAGGAGACTGAGCTTAGCAAGGCTATTTGCTACCTCCTGAAAAATACAGAGACAGTCTGAGAAAACCTAGAGCTTTCTTCTGATAGTAAAAATTTATTTTAATACTGTTTGATAAAGATTAAAAGTGCCTTGCATGAAGTCCATTAGAAATCACGGGCTTTGGCAGCCTTAACAGTTCAATGCTTTAAAAAACAAAAACAACAACAACAAAAAACCCTCAAGGAGTACTCATCACTAGACAAAAATTCCCTTCCAAAACTCTCTGTTGATGTTACTCCTCATGCTATTCAATGATTCTAACAAATGTTTGAACACACTTGGTCTCAGTAAGAGATGGCAAACAACAGCCACTGATTATTGACAGCACCTCAGCAACATTACCTGGTGGTTTGAATCTTCACTTTTCTGAATCCCACTCTCCTCCAGTGTATAATCATAGTTGAAGAGGTAACCCAGTAAGTACCACAGAACTCCAGCTTGGAACAAATGTGTTTGTAGCCAGTAATCCAAGGCAAAGGAGCTAACACACTCTACTCCTAAAGCAGCTACTCGTGGTATGGTCTGGAGGGAGAAAAAAGAAGTTTGCCTTAAAGCCTGTAACCAAAGAATGCCAACTGGTTTCTGTATATAAGATTTAAAAGCCCAAACTTGCTAATTCTGCAGTACTATCTAAGCAACCCAGAGACAAGACTGAAGTAGACATAATTTCTGCAGCTGTAGTATGGGTAATCAACAACATGGCTAATTAGTCAGCATCTTTCAAAGGGAAGAGTACTTGAATAGTTATTTCATATGATTAGAAAGAAGCATTGATGAACTGCTGGGAAAGCAATTTAAAACTGTAGCAGAGATTGCCAGGAGAGTTTTTTTATGGCAATACATGTGTCCTGCAGGGACTAAAGAACACACAAGCATATACAGTCAATTACTAGAATCTGGTTTTAGTCTCACGTTTTCACACGCCCCACATGAAAATTTAAAGACAAGCCTTCCTTTCTTAATTCAGACAAAATTAATTATTTTTATAAAATGAGGAAAGTTCAAAAGAGCTAAATGGCAAGAAAACTTCTTAAATGTTGTTCCCAGAGTTTATGCTGACTTTAGAGTCTATCTGCTTATGCAAGGCTTAGTTGTAGTATATTTATTTGCTAATTAGGTACAGTAAGCCAAACTTCCTAATGTGTCAGTTAAAAGGCAAAAGTAGCTGAATCTTTAGAGGGGCTGCAGTTTAAATCTACTGTTTAAATGGATTCAAATGCAAGTGCTGAAACAAGGCAATTCAGTTCTCTATCTCATGATTTGCTGGGATCTTACAGAGGGGTTTGACCAGGCACTGCAACTATGAGGAAAGGCTGAGAGAATTGGGTTTGTTCACCCTGGAAAATAGAAGGCTTCAAGGTGACCTAATTGGGCCCTCAAGTACCTGAAGGGAGCCTGCACAAAAGAAGGAGAGGGACTTTCTACAACTGTACGGAGTGACATGACAAGGGGAAAAGGCTTCAAACAAAGTAGGTTTAGACCAGATGTTAGGAAGTATTCTTTACTGTGAGTGAGGGTGGTGAGGCACTGGAACAGATTGCCCAGAGAAATATGGATGCCCCATCCCTGGCAGTGTTCAAGGCCAGGTTGGATGCAGCTCTAGGCAATTTGGTCTAGTGAAAGGTGTCCCTGACCATGGCAGGGGAATTGGAATTAAAAGAACTTAATGTCTCTTCCAACACAAACCGTTCTATGATTCTATGACTGTCTTATCTGCCTAAAAACCACAATATTCCCCTAAACATTTAACAGTTATCCAGTTAAACATCCATTTGGACAAAGGAAAGGAGCACTCACCTTGCCATAATACAGTAGCCTACAGAGGTCCTTAATTATGTTAGGCATTTCTGTAATCTTCTCTCTGCAGTCCTCAAACTGAGCTGCAACACTATAACACTTACTAATGTATCCACATACCTACAAAACACAATGTTTTATTGGTTCCAAGAGGAGGAAAAATGCATATTTACAATTGTATTTTTTATATGTACAATACTAGATCAATGTTTTTATTATCTATACACACACATTTGTGTTTATTATCATGTTATACATATATATACAGAATGCAATTTTCTGAGAAGACCATACACTCAGTTAAAGCTGCTGTTTTAAACTCACCTGTACAGACATATCATCTGGCTTGCTAGATCGAGTCAAGACTGCTACACAACGATTAAATGCTTCTTGCAATACCTGTGAGGATTGGATGATGCACAAATTCAGTCACAACAAAAAGGGGTAAAAGCCAGCAAAGCCAAAACATTAGCTGGTAAAGTCATTTGTAATGGCTGAAAGGAAGCATTTGACAAAAATCTGCTGCCTGCATAAGTGGTTTGTAGTGCAAAATTCGTTGTAAGTACTAGTAATAACCTTTGATGCTTTAAGAGCTAACACTCTTCTCACATGTGAGCTAACACCTCAGTCAGTGCACACATGACACTAAGCTGAGTGGGAGTGTGGATCTCCTGGAAGGCAGGGAGGCTCTACAGCGGGATCTGGATAGGCTGGACCAAGGGACCAAGGCCAGTTGTGTGAGGTTCAACAAGTTGAAGTGCTGGGTCTGGCACTGGGGTCACAAGAACCCCATGCAGTACTGCAGGCTGGGGGCAGAGTGGCTGGAAAGCTGCCTGGCAGAAGAGGAGCTGGGGGTGCTGCTCAACAGCCACTGAACACGAGCCAGGGTGTGCCCAGGAGGCCAAGGCAGCCAAGGGCATCCTGGCCTGGATCAGCAACAGCGTGGCCAGCAGGAACAGCACAGTGATTGTCCCCCTGTACTCAGCACTGGTGAGTGCTGTGTTCAGTTTTGTGCCCCTCTCGTCAAGTAAGAGATTGAGGTGCTGGAGAATGTCCAGAGAAGGGCAACAGAGCTGGGGAGAGTTCTGGAGCACAAATCTGATAAGGAGGAACTGAGGCAGTAGGGGTTGTTTATCCTTGAGAAAAGAAGGCTAAGGAGAGACCTTATCACTCTGTAAAAGCACCTGAAAGGAGGCTGCAGCAAGGTGGGGATTGGTCTCTTTTTCCAAGAAACAAAAGACAGGACAAGGAGAAATGGCCTCATGTTGTGCCAGGGAAGGTTTAGATTGGATATTAGAAGAAATTTCTTCACTGAAAAGGTGGTCAAGCACTGAAACAGGCTGCCAAAGGAAGTGGCTGAGTTGCCATCCCTGAAGGTAATTAAAAAGGCATGAGGATATGATTTAGTGGGACTTGTCAGTCTGGGGATTAACAACTGGACTCAATCTTCAGCATCTTTTCCAACCCACATGGTTCTAATACACATTGTAATATGTGCAATGAAAAGGCATTCTGCTCAAGTGACTTGTTCACATTTATCTATTCTTTCACATAAAAAAATGCAGCAGTTCTGTAAAGGAGTAGAGAAACCTTGTATGTAGCTTGCATACACACAGTTCAATAGACAAGCCTAGGTCTAGAAAAGGGTATACTCTGCAAGATGTTTCTCCTACTGTATCCAGAATATCTGAGATGTTAAGAATAACAGGTGTCTCAGGACCAAAAGTGATTCTCAATTACATCTGATTTCCCAGGCATCGAGGATCTAAGATTTCTAGCTATGGAAAAGTTAGACTAAAAGCATGCATTTCAACACTTTTCTTTACATATACCTCAATTCCACTTTCTCTTCTCAGTTCTTCTGCATTTAATGCTGAACAACTGACAGTATGAAAAGCAAGCTCTGTAGCAGCAGGCAACAGTGGAGATTCTTTGGAAAACAGAAGGTCATCTGATGTTTCAATGGTAATGGTCTTAATCAGCATAGGATAGCCTGCATACTTGTAAGGTTTCAAATCTGAAAGAGGAAAAAAAGTCCAAGTTTATGTATACGCACAGTCTAAGCAATCTAAGCCACCACAAAATTATTGGTGGAAGATATATCAAATATACAAGGACTAGGAAACGAAGCCAAACACCCAGGGAATCTGGAACAAGACTGAGCACTCCACACAATCTAACTCCACATCACATAGAACTGTTCATGCTAGAAGCTAACAGAGCTTCACAGGAAGAACTCATTTATCTTATCTCCAGCTCAGTAAGCCCCCAAGGTCAAAGCCTTCCCTTTCTCCAGAGAAACTCAAGTATAGCTTGGTCTCTGTCTTGGGCCAGGACTGACCAAAAATCACCCTATAAGGGCCTTGTCCATTTTGACACAACAATTTTAAGTATCAAATTGCATTTTTCATTCCTGTAGAATTCTGTGGTGCTAAAGCATAATTTCATTTTCCATATGGAGCCAACTGCAAGCCAACACATTTAAGCCTATACCGATGCTGTCCCTAGCTCCACATAACTGACAGGACTAGGACTGCACTTAAGGTTCTTAGTTTACCATTATAATGTAACAGTTAAAAAGCAAAACAAAGTTGGCTCTGCAAGACTTGGACATGGCAGCAGCTACCAGCCTGGGACTGTAGCTGGAGCCAAGTGTTAGGATGCTCTAGCTATCCCTCTTTCCCAACTGAGCAATGAGATAAGTTGTGTCACAGCACACTCACCCAAGGACTCCAACACTGGTCAGGATTTGAAAGAATGGCTCATTGTTAATAGCCAGATGATGTAATATCATGTATAACCAGCATTTGGGTGACTAAGTACTAGTGAGGATTTTTCTGCATAGACAGAACTCTCCGTACAGAGGAAGATTCAAATTGATTAGTACGGGAGCAGAGCACTACAAAGACCTATTCATGCTGTTATGAATTAAGTTTTACTGCAGATTAGTTTATTTCTTAGAAGAAAAAAGTCCTAATTTGAAGCCCTATACCATAACTACATAGTGCTGTGGCAAGTCAGAAACCAGATCAACACAGCACAGACTAAAGAAGAGAGGAGATTAAAGCTGACTGAAATGACCACTAAATAAATGAACATAAAACACTGAGGCAGCATGCTTACCTTCCTTGTGCCTGTTGAAGAGGATGCTTTGAGTTTTCAAGATCAAAATTATGTTTTCTGGATCTGGCCCATCTATCACCCTGGCAGACTTCGTGCACAGAAACTCATATGCTTTATTAACTTTTTCAAACATATCCTGCCAATAAAGAGAAACAGCTGTAAGTGTTGTTAAGAACACTCTAAATTACTGGAGCATAGTTTAAGTGCAGGTAAAATAGAGCATTTCAGGTTACTAGCAACAGCACTAACTTTGCTACCTCACTGCACTCAAGGAAGTACTGCAAACACTGGTTGATAGAATAGCTTTCTTTTGTCTCCTGAACTCTGCCCTAGGCAAGAGACTTTAAGTCAATCATAGTATGACAAAAGCAGTAAGTACAGCTGGATTGTGAGAATGGGCAGAGGATGCAGTCAGTCTCTGAAAGAGAACAAATAGCTTGTTTAGGTCCTGTGTAACTCTCTAAACAACACCATTTCTGAGATATGAGTCTGATCTGACTACACCAGTTTACTGTAGAAATCCTAAATCCTTGAATGGTATTAGTTAAATTATTAATCTGTAGCATTAATCTGTATTTTATCATTCACCTAGAGCACAGCTTTTAAAAGGAAGAAAGACAATTTAGGTGTGTGTTTCAAATTTCTTAATATATGTAAGAGCAGAATATGTTCCCATTTTATTAACACCCCAAATTTGTGCTGTACATACCCTGCCTTCTGGATTCTTGTCTGGGTGGTATTTTTGAGCCAGCCTGAAATAAGCTTTCCTGATCTTACTTTCATCATTCCTGCAATAAGACAAGTTTCATCAATTACACTTAATAACAAAAAAACCTAAAACAACCACAACAAAACAACGCTGGGGTTCTGAAAACAGTACTAACACTAAGTCCAACTGAGTGAAAACTACAAAGCTCTCCTATTTCCTTTTTAAAACTCTGCTTCATCATCTTACACTGAATGGGGGGGGTAACTGTGTGGTCACAATAGGAAGAAATTTTAAAGACTGAGCACCTTGAAAATATTAAAATACTTTCAAAGTCCCTCAATATTTTAAATGAAGTATCCAAATGAGCTACAAGTGTTGAAAGTTAGTATTTCACCATTGTTGTAAGTGCACTGTTCTTGAAGTATAAACAAACTGCTGTTGGTTCACTTCTAGAGACTTGAAGTCAGAAACCAGTGGGAAGACAGGACACAAAAAATTCTTAGGGTATAATCACCAAGAAAGAAAGACAAAATGGGGGAGGGAGAAGGATGATTACAGAAAAAAGCTGCTTTGAACATTCTCAAGTTCTGCTATATTCTTTGCTCACTATGGTTAAAGCTTGTCTTCTTTTAAAAGAGCAAAGCTCAGAACATTCTTCTCCCCATTTTCCGGTTATCTAAACACTTTAACAATTGTTTTCTCAAACATTGGAATTGTAGTTCCAAGCTTTGTTTCTTTTAACAAAGCAATCCTCCACTGTGAAAGAAGCAGGTGCTACACATGACTGAGCAGGTACCACTAATTCATTCCATGTACCAAGTTAAGAAACTTCAGTTTGTTCAGTGCATGGAGTTTATATCAAAATATTTACATAACTTTAAATCATGAAGACAACTTACTGGCCTTGTCCTCTGGGTAGGTTAAGAACTTCATAGGCATCATCTATTGACATGGTAGGTGGCTTCTTCTCCACCTCCTTCTTCCAAGCTTCTAGGGTATCTTTCAACAGTTTAACCTCAAAAATTACAATTTATTAGTGTTTCATTTATGCTGACACCAGTATACATAATTTTTAATAAAATGCTGTTTTACTAATGAATCTTTTTTATTAAAGATAAAAGCACCTTGAGACTAAAATGACTATGTAAGAGTAAAATTAGAAGATGGAGAATCACTTAAATAAGACACAGCTCAAATCACGATACTATAGAAACTGAAAAGCTGCATGAATAAATACAGCTGCTTAGACAGATCTAGTCCATAGACTTGTACCAAAAAGATCTCTTCCGTTAATGTACTGACATGTTAGCTTGGTTTCTCTTGCAGCATGGACAAATAAGAACCCTGAAGTCATGATTTCCTTTCCCTCTCCCTGTCTCCAAAATAAGATTCACTGAAACACTCCCTGAAGTTGCTTGGATGCTTGAGTTTGCTATTCAAGTAGTCACCACAAGAAGGACACACTTATTGAGATGGCTATGCGGAAAGAACACTATGCTGCTTCAAGATAAAGCAGGGTTTAATGTATTTACTTGTGGACCAAAATTCACAATAAAGGAGTTACTTGCAACAAACCTAGCACTTGATTTTGTTAACTTTTAGGACTGAAAGTCCTAGCACTTTTTCATTACCTTTTAGGACTGAAAGATCAAGAACTAAATGAATCCTAAAATACTTCTTACTTACTGGATCTTTAATTGGCCAGTCTGGAAATCTAAGTGTATCACAAAGATGCTTGAGGTAATAAATGTTACAGAACAGCTCATTTTCCAGTTGGGGATAGTTGATAACAGGGATGGGACAGTATTGGTAGAGGGCTCTTGTATTGCTTTGAAGACGAGGAGTGAAGTCAGCAAGATGAGCAGCAATCTTCTCGATCATTAGACGCCTAAAAGTGACAAAGTTTAGTTTAACTCTTGCCCAGCAGTCCTTAATCCTCACTCACTGCACAAGCATGTTCAATGATTTCCTCTGAAAAGGTTTTCCTTAGAAGTTTCCCACATTTTAGTAGGGATTTAGAATAGGACTCTCTCCTATTCTATTAGAGAGCTATTTAAACACCATGAAAATTAGTGTATTAAATCAATTAAAAGTGATATTTTCCTTTTCTCAACACCTCTTTAACTTCTGGAAGACCCTAATATGTACTAGAATATTAGAGGTATATAACACAGATAGGTGCTGATAATAAAAAAGTACATATAAATGAGTAAGTATAAAGCACTTCACATACACAGTCAAGTCTCCAATCACAGAAGTAACTTACTCAAGACATTCAGGGAAATATTCCCCTTCCCACTGCCAATTCTGCTCTCCCCTGCCCTGGTTATTTTTCGTTGAAGCAGAGCAGGACACTGCCCTTGCAGACGGCAAACAAGATGAAGCCATTGAATCCAGGTATTTTCAGCTTTCTTTAAGAACATCAAATACCTCTTCAAGATAACCTGTAGTTCAGATTTATTTGTCCCTCTGACAGAAAACATTTACCTCATTTCATTGCTCCAAATTGCTTCCGGAGTGTCAAATTCTCCAAGGAATATCTCCGAAAATTTTTCTGGTTCATAGTTTTCTAAATAACACACCATTGCTTCAGGAAGAATATGTCCAAGTATACTTCTTTGAACTATATCTTGACTTTTTGTCTACAGAAGAGATCACATGGTCATCTCAATGATAATGGAATTCTGTCTTGCTTAATAATTTGAGACCTAAAAACTCTCCCCCTTTTCCCTTATAGTAGACATATTCTAGTTAAAACATCTACAGGTAGTCTGCAAAACTATTTGGAAACAGAGTTAGTTACTGTTGCAATTTACTCACTTCTTCAGACTTGAAGGCTTGTTTTGTATGTGTGTATTTCAAAAACCTAGAAGAGAAACAGCAATTACCTTCTTTTTTTTGATACTTGGGTACTCTTGAATAGTAGCAGACCAACACAGTCCAGCTGGCAGGTATTACACATTTACTTTGAGATAAAAGAGTAACTGCAACAGTTGTATGAATTTATGTACTAACTTCATTAAAACCTTGGGAACTCCACCAAGCTAAGCACTCCTGTGTTATAAATCTTGCCTCATGTTCATCATTTCAGTTTGAAAGTCTTACTCCTGAAAGCTGGTTTTCTACACACACAAAAAAAGATGCTATAGAGACACAGACAACTCTGCTCTGTTAGACCATCACTGCAGGGATGACACAGGATTATTTTAGACTAAGTGCTGACAGTTCTATTACACCAGAGTCATCCTGGAACCATGCAATCATTGCCCAATGCATTTCACTGTCCAAGAGACTTAACTGGAATTACAGGACAGCTTTTTATGAACTACTGCATTTAGAAGAAAAGTACTGACAAGAATGGCAGTAGCTACCTAAATATGCAGTGCATTATCCAGCAGTACAGACTGTTTTAACTGTTTTAGACTTCAATATTGAAAGAGGCTATTATATTTTTTAAAATTCTTCAATAGCTGTCTACTATCAAAAACTACATCAGCATATATGCAGCCTGTGTTGCTACTTTTTAGTGCTTGTAAATGGCTTATTCTACAGTAAGGCATGCCTAGTTGTACTGTCAGAACGGTGTCATCAGACACTTTCTCATCCCCTCTCTGGAAGGATAAGAAATTCACTTTTTAGTGACTAACTAGATCATGTGGAGGCAATTCTTCTAGAAGAATTTCATGTTGGTTACAGCAAGCCACACTCCCCAGAGCATACAGAGATGTAGGGCAGCAGTCCTGAGCATGACTGGGCAAGAGGTGCTTTTGGCTGTTCTTTTTCCTCACCTTGCAATAGGAAGTACATTGGAACCTGTGTACATCATGATGAAGAAGAATACTCCACTCAGATAAAAACGAGGTAACTGAGGGTTGTCTTGCATGACATGAGAGAGCAATACAGCAACTTTTTCCACCAGGATAGGATCAAAAGTCAGTAATAGCTGAAACCAAACACAAGCATTTATATTAGCTGCAAGTAATCTAACCAAAAACTGAAGTTTTAACAAATTATTGGGACAATCCAGAAATTTACAGGTATTACAGTTTAAGAATACTTAAGCTTAAAAACAACAAGTGTCAATCAAAAAACATTTAAAGGGACCTCTGGAGATCATCTTGTCAAACCCCTCTGCTAAAAGTGTGATCTTCTAGACCTGGTTGATAAAGATCATGTCCACGTGGCTTTTCAGTTTCTCCAAGGATGGAAATATTTCCTTAAGAGATATTGGCTGAAAAGCATGAAATTTGCAACAATACCCTATGAAATTAACAACTGCTTGATCAGGAACCTGCACAATACTACAATTGTTCTTTGATGCATTTATCCCACCTAAAGTATTCACACGAGGAAGACAGAGTAAGTGAAACTTACAGGTACATTTTTGAAGAGTTACTTACCTGAGTAATATGAGGAAGGCAAGTACTATCTGACAACAGCCTTTTCACTCTAGGCAGAGGTCTTATAATAGCATTATCTTGATCCCTAAAAAAAATCAAGTAGTACAGCAGTAAGCACAGGTGTGCTTTTTCTCTTTCAAGAACAAACGATTTTAGTAAGCATAAATATTAGACTATTGAAGCTGTATTCTTTGTCTTTTTTGTTAACTTCAAAGTTTGTTGTTAGACTTGGTAAGTGTGGTTTAGTGTCCTGCATTAAAGCAGTTCTGTTTAAGTTAAACAAGAGCCTGTCTACAGCATTAGAAATGCACATAGCTTGTGCATTCATTCCTGCAGTTCCCTTCACAATATTAGTATTGTCTCATTTACAAACTCTCTATTTGCCCACAGAATTAATTACTACCATGTAAAAGGCTCTTTAATAGAGCTCCTTAATGTACTACTTTCTAAGAAAAGCTTTAAGACAGGATTTATTAATTCATGGATCTGCCAGAAAAAGTTAACCCCTTCTGCTGAAAATCACCATTTACCTGCTGGGAAAATATCCACACATGGTGATGAGCATGTTGAGGACAAGTGTGGCAAGGTCAGTCTCATTCAACACAGGCTGTCCACTGGCAAGCAAGCACCACTTCAGCTGAGGGATGACCTGTAAAGGTCTCCAGCCATCCATACCCTGAGCCCAGCAACGAGTTTTTGAAGTCACCTTCCCATCGTTCCATAGTTCCTGCATCTATTGCAAGATTAAAGATTAATTTAGTTTATTCAGCATTCAGAGCCACCTTTGCTCCTAAACACTCACACTCATGACAAGCTTTTAACTGCTATATGGCAGACTACTATAGTTGCATGAAATTTCAATGTGTTTATAACACTGTCACAGAATCATGAAGAAGAAAGTGTTGATTATGTTGAAACTACCTGAGGCATGGAGGGGTAGGCAGTCTTACCAAAAAGGCTGCAGTTCTTGGCACTACATCAAGTCTCTTATCTCGCTTTAATCCTTATTTAAAGATTTACTTGGAGAACATTCTTTAGCATTGTTTATGGTCCCTCTCACTGTTTGAAACACACCCAGTCACCAGGACAGAAATAATTTGTCAAGTTGTAAGTCTGAAGCTGACAGGTACCTCTTGAAAGCTGTAAGGACCACTCCTTTCTTTGTCAGCATTGCCAAAGTACCATTCTTTCTCGCTCTCCCTCTTCGCATCAGGTGCTGCCTCAATCACATTGCTCTAAAAGTTGATGTTTACAAGAACAGCTTTAGCTTCACAGTGCAAATATCACATTTCTACAGGAAATGTGAAAAGTACATTGATTTTGTTAAGAATTGTCCCTTTCACAGAGCAACATATGAGTAGTAAGAAACAAAGGCCCTGTACCTGCAAAGGGACTGTAGCTCTGCTCGTGTGAAGATGTGCCAGAGTAAGAAGATCTACAAGGATTCTGATACCATTTGAATCCATAAGGTCCTTCACATTTCTCTGTTAACAGATGAACTGAGTTACCAAAAGCATTTTCTAGATGAGCATTGCTGCAATTAAGTATTGCAGAGTTTTATTCAAAAAAGAAGTGACCACAAAAAAAGTCAAATCATTCTCTAAAGCAACTGGATTTGGTGCAATCACCACAATAACTACACATTTCCTTCAGCCTTCTCACCAGTAAATAACAGCAATCACATTCCAGAAAGCTGTAGCAAACATTGCTCTAAAACTTCCTCGATACTTGAATTTTGGTACAAGTTAACTCTGAAAGACTACTTCAGACTATTTTATACAGTCAAGACTGATGAACTGCTGTTAAGTGTACATGTCCACCTTACCTTATTGAGGATCAGCTTGTTGAGGAACAGGATCAATCTGTCCCGCTCAAGCCTGTCAGTGCACTGTTTTTGTAGAAAAGAACAACTTAGTATTTCATAGAACATACTGGAAGTTCCCTTCAAAAGTTAACATAGTTGCAGCTGCAAATCCCCATATTGTTTTTTCACGCCCAGAAAAACTGGTGACTATTAAATGTTAAGTTTTATGAACAGCTAATAAAGGTAGTTTTCTGCCACTGAGGAGCAAAGGCCTTGCTGCCCTCCAACACTGATGTTGCCCTAGATCAAATCCACTATTCTGCCAAGTCTACAGTCCTATCAGGACTATGTATGGATTCCCAGTGAACCAGTTAAAACAAGCACAAGAAAAAAATAGAATGTTTTTAGCCAGCAGACAGAAAGGGTCTTTGATATTCATCCCTGGCGAGATTACCAAGGCTCAAGGCAAAATAACAACAAACTACCCTGGTTCAGTTTCACTTACAACAGCCAAAACTCATGCTGATGGCAAGGAAAGAACTCCTCCTTCAGACTGCATGGAACTTCATTTTTGCAAACTGAATCAGTTGTCAGACATAAATTAACAGACACTTACTAGGCAAAGCAGCTACTACTACAAATCTAATCCACCACATGTGCTCACCTAAAGCTATCATTTCATTAGGTCTGGGGCTATGACTCAAAGTCAGTACTTTGAAATAATGTGATATGGAACAAAATTCTCCTCTCATAAAGCTTCTGCATTTTTCAAAAGCAAGCTGAAGTTACATCTGCATTTTGTTGGCCTTAAAGAGACTAGTTTGAAACATCTCTAGGATCAGCACGTTTTTTAGTTGAACTTTAATGAAACTGAAACAAAGGGAGATTCTAAGAACAGCTGTTGACAGCATGGAAAAAAGTATTCGCAAGTTGTAAACCCGAGTTTCACAGTAACTGAAGGATCTGAATGTATGTTGGACTAGCAGTATGCTAACAACTATATCCAGTAATTTAACATCATTCTTACCCTTTCTAACATTCCAACAATGTACTTAGTATCAGAAAATGGTCCTATTTCTTCATGACACCTTCCATAAACAATGGCCAATGCTTGCAGACACAAGCATTTCATATTTACTTTTGGGGTAAGCAAGAAGCGATGGTAGAGCTCATTGAAGAATTCATATCTAAAAAAGAAATGAGATTTTAGAAAAGAAAACAAACACAGACCTCAGGAATGAGATAAGGTTTTAATAATGACTCACGATCTTTTGATTGCTCCACTCTCTTCAGTTTCATCTTCTTCCAGCAGCAATCTTAGATAATAATCCCCTATTTTTATTTCCTCAGAAAGGCACTCATATTTTACCTGTAATAACACAGAACACCTTACTCAACAACATATATTGTTTCTCCTTCTGTAAGTTTTTGCTCACATAACAATACTGAGCTTGATTGCATCTTAAAATTCAACAAGGTTAGCAACCTCTCCTAAGCTGTAGGAAAACTGAAATCTGCAGGTTTTCTGTTAAAGAAACACATCCACAGAATAGAACTCACTGGCTATTGCTGCCCCTCTGAATAAAGGAAGCTTCTCATCATACTGAAATCTCCATTTCCAGCCTTTAAGTAACTTGTTTCTAATACCAGCTGATTTTAGTAACTAAACTTGGATAATACATGATGCATTCAGTAACTCAAGTTTAATAAGTACTTATTTCACTGCAAGGTATTTCACTTAATGCTACTGCAAGTATGAAATACAAGCATGATCTAATTACTAGTTATACTTGCTATTCTGCTGAATAATAAAAGCCTAGAGGCATCAGTTCAGAAAACAAGAAGCTGAAACAAAATTGCCCAATAAAAGCCATCATTAACTTCAGAGCAACTACATTAAATTTAACAAATGCCTCAATGTTCAGTGGTAACAAGAACTTGGAAGCACTTCAATTAGAGGTACTTCTAACATAAAAGAAAAACCACTGTAGAGTGGCTTTTGTTATCGATAGTTTGCATATTACTGTCATGAGGCCACAAAGTTATCTACAGATTTGATCACAGCATTACATAACAATGATATCCCGCTAACTGGTATGCTTTCAGAGGAGTATCAAGCCACCATCCTCCTTGGCAAAGTGACAGGTTTCACAGTTGATAGAAAAGCCTTTGCCACCACTATCTATTCAAATACTTACAGCATAGTCCAATAACATCTTCACTACTATTTGAAAGCAAATCTGTGAGACAGCAGCTGCTCCATCCAGTAGTAAAGTATCCTGGCTTGTAGCTGCAAGAATGCTACTGCTACATTCCAGCAGCATAAAGCCACACAGAAGCATAGGGTACATGGGGGAAGTCTGCATTACTAAGCTTCAAATCTGTACTTCTGATTCTGTCCCAGTTTGCAGCTCTAAAAAGTTGGGATAGCAGACACAGACACCCAGAAGTCCTGACCTATACCTGAAGGAAGCTTTGAAACACAACTGACAGTGCAAGAAATATTAATCTAAACCCAGTCTTAGCTATTTCCTGTATCAATATAAGAAGCAACCTGTAGTTGTGTGATAGGGATAAATTGCATACATAAAACTGCTCTCTCATGAAACATTAGCCTGGTGTCTTGCAGTTCTTCCTGATTTGCATAGGAGCCAGCTGAAAAATTCCTCAAACCAAGTTTGTTCTCATTTCACTAACAGTTCTCAGCTCAAATGTCACTAGAAAGCTATACTCTAACAAGGATGGCAATGGGAATATCTAAGGAATATCTTGCAGTTGTATTAAAGGGTGGCCTTGCTTTGCTTTAGTGTTACACATTAATTAAAACCACATTTTTGTGTGGAACCACAACAATTCTAGAGATAAGAGAACAGTACAGGAAGTGTTTATTAGCACATGTCTTGAGAAAGCCAATCAGGACCATACTGCTATAATTTACAATGCAACATGTTTTGGCCCCATAACCTATTCATGATTTGGCAAGCCAGTATTTAACAGATACAGGATTATTGAAGCATGAAGGAAATAAAGACAAACTTGTTATCAGGAAGAAGTGACTTCTGAAACTACCCAAAACAATTCTGATAGAACACACTCAAAAACAAGTTTGACTTTATCTGGACAACAGTGCAAGGACTAACTCTTGTCTTAATTCAAGAATACACCACGGGTTCTGATAAAAGTTTAATCTCTACAGCACCATTTGTTGGGTTAAAGAAGCTTCTGTTTTGCCAGTGACACTGGACAGTAGTACCTGTTCACTGATTCAAGCCTTAGCAGTTGATCCCATAACCCCTAAAAAAACCTAGCTTGCAGTCAGAGATCATCAACACAAGATTCACTTGTAGAATAAGAGACAGAAGTGGTATTTCAAGTGCTACTTTACAGATGCAGTTTGTCTTGTCATAGGTCATTTACCTCAAACTCCTGGTGGTTCCATGAGATAACATTAGCACTACCAAGTTCTCTGTCAATATTAAATGCTCTCATCTCAGACTCGAGAGTATCTCTCAGTTCTTCCCGTGTTTTGAAGTTCCAAATCAAGTTTGATCTAGCATGATCCTGAACAAATCTAAGAAAGAAGTTACATAGTTTAAACCCCTCAAAGCATTATCTGAAAAGCAGACAAGATTCAGCTGGCAAGCTAGGGGAGACTGTTAGCATTAATGGACCTTAATTAGAAGGCAGAGAGCAGTGGTCTCCAGGTTGCTACAGTAATTACAGTTGTTCACTTGAATACTGTTTTGATAGCCATGGAGGCCAGCCTAGACTAAAGCATGCCTGTGCCATCCCTTAGGGGTCAGTTTGCCATCTGCATGTAGTTGATGACAAGGAAACATGCAAGTGATTCACTGTAAGCCAGTAAGGGCTACAGGTAAACAATACAGAGCAGCAGACATGCTGTGTTTTAAACCAACAACAACATTAAAAAATAGCTTATGCAGTAAAATAGAAGTTGATGTCTTAAATGTCACAAAACAGTCAGTGGACATTCTTTAGTAGCAGTTACCAACACAGCCTTTAGATCCAAAGACTGAGAATGGACTTTAGTACCAAATGTTTAGGAACAAAGTAATCTACCTTTCATGAAACTGTATTTGACATTTAGAAACATCAAGTAGTTAGGTTTATGGAATTCCCCAAGCTTGCTTACATCGTTTGTTAGCCAAGCTTTATTAGTCTAACACAATGGCTCTAGCCAAAGAGATATATTTTTTTCAGATAGAAGCCCCTCCCCTTGTAAACTCTGACAGCTGTAAGAACTCACAGGTAAGCAAACTGCCTTTAGGACCTGTGGCACTATTTGAAATCCAGTATGCATGTGCTTTCTCTTGCCCTGCTTTAAGCTCATGTTTTTCCAGTTCAAGTTACAACACCTTGAGTAGCTTACGGGTACCATCAAACTACAGTACTTTCCAGTGCTACTTCACTTGGCCTTCAGTACCATGCAGATTTGCACCTGCAGTTTGTTATTTACTCTTCCTTTTGGTTAAAGGGGAAAAAGATATGTAGTTTGATAATATTTCAGAAGCTTTCTAAATTCCTCCTTTGCCTAAACACAAGTGAAATCTTTAAGTATAGCTTCAGGTGTTTTTAGTAAGTAGCTGTTACAAAACACTTGCACTGTTTCAAGGCAGGCAGAAATTCAAAGTCACAGAAACTCAGAAGATATTAACAAAAATACCCAGCCAGCTAAGAACCTGTATTAACTTTAGTATTTTCACCTGTAATAAAAGAGATCCCAGTTTGCTTCTATTTTTATCCTTTGGCGCCGTTTCCTTAATATCACTGGTTTTTGAATCATGTTCTGCAAAACAACCAAATTTCATAAGTCAGTAGAGGCAGATGTCTCCCATTTTTCCCTTTTAAAATAAAAGGCTACTTTTTTTACACTCCTTCAAAAACCATACCATAAGTTAAGCCTGATTAATAATGTCTCCTTTTCTAGTGAGTAGCAGCAAGAGACTTTCACAAGTGTTATTTGCACCAAGTTAAATCATGCCAGAGAAACTTTCAGCTGTTTGACACATCATTTGTTTAGAAGCAAGTTATCCCTGAGAAAAGCTAAATTCCCACCACCATAGGTAATCAGCTCCAAAGCTGATGGAGGTGAAAACTCACATGAAAAATGTTTTGCCCTTGAAAGGGAAGAAGTAGAGGAAGTCACAAAAACAAAACCAAGCCTGACTTGGTCACTGAAAGATTCCCTATTTTGATGAAGCATGAAATCACTGTTATCATCTACATGAGGTATCACATGCAAGCAGAAGCCTGAGCAACAGAGTCCACGCAAGTGACAAGAGATATACAGACTCACCATATTGTTTCTGTCCTGATTATGAAGAAAAATTGGAAGAAAAAGAAAAATACATTTAACACCCCAGAGTCACTGAAGTAATTTAAAGTGGTAACACCAAACTTGCTACTACATCTTCCAAGCTACACTTGCACACATTTGCTGTGAAATGATACAGCTCAGAACTCCACACAGAAATGATTCTTTAAACTCAGTATCTAGACAAGTTGTTTAAAGTGCAATTTGACCTTCCATTGTTTTTCACATTTCTTCATTTCTCCTGTTTTGAACCTAATTCACCATTATTTCTCAAATATTATTGTCAAACTTCTGCACCACACTCTACATCAAACTTGAGCTAGATTTTTGTAAGTTAAAGCTTATTGCTATATCAGAACAAGTACAAAGACAGGCATTTTCAAACTCTGCATCATGCTTTTCATCCTTCCTTGGATGCACAACAGATTGTTTCACTTCCAGAATGCATAAAAACAAGCTTAGTCAATATAGTAAAGAAAGTTAAGGGAAACACCTCATAATTTAAAGAGTTTGTCCTGTCGAACATGGCAATAAAACTAAAAGAAAAAGGAGACCAACAGACTCGAGCAATGCTTAAGCTCTCCTCTTACAATATCAGACCAAAATAGTTTTTTATGACTTCGGTCTTAACCATGACCTTAGGTACAGTCTTGTGTTGCCCTTCAAGCACTGAGATACCTATATTCAAGTGAATCCCAAGGTGGTGTCCATGGCAGGGGAAATAGAACTTGATGGCGTTTAAGGTCCCTTCCAACCCAGGTTATTCTATGATTCTTCAAGAAGGTTCCATAGCTAAATTATCACTGGTGTAAAGTATATAATTTTGAATGCAAAGAATATTCCATTTCTTTTAAGTATACCTCAAAAACTGGTTTTGCCACATTTCAAGGAATTTTCTCCTCTATAATCATCTTACAAGAAATGCATATAAGCGGTACTGCAGTTTGATACAGTTGGCAAAATGCCTAATACATATGCTGAAGGAATTGATTTGCCTGATTTACATTCTCCCTGGATCCTATTTCTAACCCAAAAATAGTAAGCACTAGAGAGTTTGCTAAAAGGAAGGAGAACTCTCAAATCAAAACAATTCTTTACTATTTCAGTGTGTGTTCTGACATTCAACAGTGACTTAGTCAAGTTACTCTAACAAAGACTTTCAAATACTTTTACCTCTTTTTGAGCTATGCCCATTCGATCTCTCCAGTGCATCAAGACTAGATCCACCTTCTCTTTGGCAAATTTTTCAACTTCTTTTGCAGCTTTTCCAGCCAGTCTCTGCCACTCTGGCACTTTATTGAACTTGCCATACTGATCCTGCAGAATAAAACAAATCACTTAGTTGTGGGTTATCTTTGCTGCAGGTCAATGCAGCAGACAAGTGTCAGTATTACAAAAGTCACTAAGACAATACATCTCTATAATGGAATAGGAAAGATAACTACAATTACTTACAGTTGCAATTTTTAAGTTATCTCTAACATGCATTCTGTCAGCATCTTTTTCAGGAACAGGCTCAGCACTGTCAAGGTATGCCAGCAAACCTGGTGGCTAAAAACATTTAAAACCAGTGTAAACACACATGTGGCTAATTAACAGAAACCAACACTTTAGGCAATAACACAATTTCTTTAAATCAGGGATTCCAATTTATATTCTACTCTAAAGTAGGTATATAAAGCTCCAGCATTTCTTTTTTGTTGTGAGCAGTAAAATGCCACCATCCTCAACAGAATTGCTTAACAGAGACATATTATTGGCTTCAGTGCAGCAGAACTCTTGGCTATACCCCTTTTCTTAAAGCAGCACTCTTAATGCACCTAAAGAACGCAGGAAGAAAAGACTTGATCCCAGAGCAACACAGAGAGATGAATAATACTAGAATCCATCCATATCCTCTGATATGGACTAAATACTACATGTGACATTAGAGATGAGAGTCTTTTTTGACTAAGCTTTCCATAAGATAGTGTTCAAGATCAGGACAGTTTGCTCTGCCAAAAATGAAGGAAATGCTATTTTGAAATTAAAATCTAGTAATTTAAGAGATAGATAATTTCTTACAACACTACTTATTGAACTAACTTCACTGAAGTAACTTAAGCAAGAAGCATTCAAGAGGCTGTAAGGGTGAAAGAACATATGAACGATCAGCATATGAACTAACAACATATAGATTTAACCAAGTTACAAGCAAACAAAGTTGGACAAGCAAGGCATGAAAGCATGGACAGAACTCCTGATACTTTAATTTCTTATTGGCACAAGAAAGCATTAGAGACTAGAGACGTGCTTACAATGTGTCCCCATTTTAATCAAGAAAAAGAAGTCAAGACACCTTATGTTTAAGTTTTGTGTCAAAGTATCTTAAAAAGTGTCAGCAAAGTAACAAAATTTTTAGAGTATGAGATGCTTTGAACCTCATCAGTATCTTTTCATTAGCAGCTGCTAGACTGCTGATTTCCCAGACAAGACCTTCCCCTGGAAGGAAAAAGGGAATATGTTTACTATATAGACTGTCCCAACTTGGACACTGCAAGCTTTCATATTTTATTTTTTTGCTACTCCATATTTTGTTTTTACTTACCAAAATACGTTTCAACAAATTCATAGCAGTTTTGTTCTCAGCTGTCCAGAGGCCAACCAAATGTCTACTTAACTGCCTGAAAAAGCCATTGAAATTAACAAACTGCAAGTTAGTACTTTAAACAGATTTTTAAACCACTAAACTGTCACCCTTACCATGCTGATGAAATGAAGATGAGAAAGAGCTTCGCACTCTTGAGTGAGCACAAAGCATTACATTGTTCAAGGATATGCTTAGCATGCTTTAAAGTGTTGCCTCTAAGAAGTTCCAGTGAAGTTAGTGGAACAGCAGCAGCACATGCTTTTTGATCTAGACCTCAAAGAACACTTGAGCAATAGAGCAGAAACATCTAATAACCAAGTGTAAGTTTATACAGCCAACCTTAACTTATAGCTAAAGTTAAGAGGCTAGAAGTCATCAAGAACTACTAAATGCTCCTACTTGAAGTTCTTAAAACCAGTTATTGACTAGAAAATCCTTTCTGGGAGCCTGCCTTCTATGCCAACTGATTCCTTCTGCCAACATTTGTCACTAGGATTCTACTGCACTGAACTGAAGCATTGCTACAAGCACATTGTAAGTAGTAGCACCAAACAGAACTAGCATGACAGATGGTTTCATACCCGCTCTCTCTTGATGACACACAGTGGCAACAAGCTCCACTTGTCCCTACATTCCTTAGCAACTCTAAGCACTTCAGCAATTCACAGCTAAAGCTTCCATAATCTTGTATTTGGGTGGAATTAATTGAATCATCACTCATCCTCCACAGTAAACCCTCAGAGATCACAAGTTCTACTGACTGTTGTTTCAGGGAATAACTTCTGTGAGGAAACTTCTCTCTCAGATAGGATGGGTGATCCTAACTGCATGCAAGATGCCTGAGATGTGCACACCCATTTTTATACAGTTGTACAGTACAAGTTGAAACTTTTTTACAAGTTCCAAACATTCTACTTGCCTTTTCTTTCCATGAATTAAAAGAAATAAAAATCAAAACTTGAGCCATTAACAAGTAACCAGCCCAAACCCACATTAACAAAAAACTAATCAAGGGTTTATTAAGTTGCTGCAATCACAGCTGAAGCTTGTCCTACTAAAACCTACGAGATGCTAAAGAAAATATTCTCCTGAAGAACTGCAACTTTTCTTCCTTGACCTCCCAATGTTTGCTAGGCCATTACTTAGAAATTTTTTTTTAAACATGATATATCAAGTGAGATGGACATACCTATTTGTAAGCATCCTCTGATCTGTGCTTACTGTAAACATAGCAGTGTGCAAGTGACGAGGTAAGGCACCTTCACTGAGGGCAAGATCTTGCATTTTGGTAGCAATCTCTTTGTCTCCTTCCTTTGGAAATAGGGCAAGATTATTACTAAGGAAAGAATCTTAGTTAAGCTGCTTTTATCTCAGTCTAAAGTTCCAAGGCCTTCTTGACCATCAATTATACCAACTAATATTCAAAAACCAGAAGCTAGAGTATGATAGGTTTTAAGTGAAAGTTCTGAGCAGCAACTGCTCAATGCTGTAGTAAAGCCATGGACCAGATAACTGGTAGTTGCATCCATGAGGACAGTAACTGAAGAGGGCAGGATGCCTGTCTCCCATCATACATCAGGAGGTTTGCAGTAGCAGTACCATTTTCACACTGCAATTATAAATTAGGATAAAACAGAGAATGGCAGCCACACATAATTGCTTGTTGCTTGACTTTTGCTGACAGTAACCACTTAAGATTAATGGCTGCTGTTCAGTTTAGACAGCCACATGGGTAAGACTGCCACTCACTCAAGACACATTAGTTGCAATGAATAAGAAAAAGGTTTTGCAACACCTTTACTCATCTAAATTACAGGACTTTTAATAAACAGCATAGTAACTTTCAGCTAACGTTATCAAGTACATAGATGGAAATGTGAAGATTTGGAATATCTCTATTTCAAGTGTTCATTCACTTCCATTCCAAGAAAGTACTAGACGGATTTCAGATGCATAAGCCATTGTGATACAATGAGGCACTAACTTAAGCCCTGAATTTCAACCCAGGAAATGTCAAGAGTCAGTTAGCAAGGTCACCTTGCAACAATCATGAGGAATTCTTGAAAAGTATGGACTTGGCCCATACATTATGTGGTATGGAAACTTTAAGCCAAAGCAAGAACAGAGGCTGACATCACTAGTCTGCTCTGGGACACTACTGCTTACTAACCCCAGTCCCATTCCATCTGGCAATGCATCCCAGGAAATATGACCTTTCCTCCTTGAAGGACCCTCCAACATGCACAAGTCTGGTGGCTCTGAGCTATGTGGCTGAGCTAAGTACAACATTTACAGCCAAATCTTGACTGCAGTATGAAGACATGCAAGGCACTACCTAATGCCCCAACTCACATGCTTTCCAAACCCCCAAGTGTAAGACAAAGCAAGTTGCTACATTAAACCACTCACAATTAAGCAGGTGCTCTGATCCTCGCTTCCAACCTCCCCTCCCCACTCCTCATTTTGAGAAACTAATATAACAAACTTCTCTTGGTAAGCAATTGCACTTCCAAAATAGACAATACATATTTTGCATGCTATCCCAGCTAACATTGATAAAATCTCACCTCTATTATTGCCTTCATCACCAAACCTGCTCCTTTCACAATTGCCATGGAAGGGTGCTAGAACAGAATGTTAACAAAAAAATTATCCAAGTGTAAAAACTGAAGGTTAGATCATCTGTGATTCAGTTTCCTTATCTATACATGGCTGTTCTACCTCCAATTCAGTTTGGTGAGAGCTAGCCTTAAGAAGAGTTCCTACCCTATATCTTTGAACAAGCATCTCTCATGCAACTCCCAGACAGAATTCCTGGCACTGAGCAGCAGTATATATCAGAAAAGCTGAAATAATGCTGAGGAAAGCGGCTGACACAAGCTGACACTAATCAAAACAGAAGAAAACACCATTTTTACAGTAAGAAGGCATTAACATTATAGCTAAAAATCCTTACAGGTTTATTACTGAAGAGGACGTTACTCTTGTTTTCTGACTCTTAACTCTCATTTACTGAGAAAGAAACAAAAAGGCAGAAAACTTGCCAATCAGGGGAAGATCTGTGCATCTGTTGAATCTATCCTGAAGTCCAAGTGGTATTTTACTGTGTTTCTGGAAATAGGTCCTAGGCAGTCTATTCTACAATGATTTGGCATATCATTCACCATAGAATAATCACCTCAATCTGATACCCGAAGGCAAAATAATAGGCCACTAAAATGTTCACCAAGATAGAAAAGATTTAGGCACATGAACCAGCTAACCAGCTGAAGCCAAATCCATCTTTCAGTAAAACAAGAAAAATTTCATGTTCACTGATTATCTGAAGCCTCTAACACTAGTGAAAAGTAAGTCTTACCTGAAAGAGCTTAAATAGTGTTCTTCCATTAGATGCCACCATTTCCAGCAACATGTCAAACTGCTGCCCCTCAGTAGTCTCACTATATGGAGCACATAGGGCAAATGTCAGGAAGTCCAGAAGTGAACTAATTACTAGGGCACCTGTCCCATGATCCTGAAATTAGGAAGACAGGTATGTAACTCAGATACAGTGGTCCAAGAGTATTCATGATGCTGAAGGTGCTCTTCCCTGTCATAGCATTAAAATAGTCTGTAAACAAAAACTATGGGTTTAGAATATTCCATTACTCTGAGTATGGCACTACCCTGGTAAATAATTGGTTTCTAAAGCATGTTAGAGACTCAAAATACTTTTATCTATTTTAATCCCACAAATTCGAATTTACACTATTCTTTTACTTAAAAGAAACATCCAGTTTTCACGTTAAACATGCAAACATTTGTTGCAGGACATTCAAAATCTGTGGTATTGACAGCTATGTTCTAACCTGCCAAGATCCAATCTTAATTAGAACAAACTTCAGTGCCAGACAGAGCTGTATTTTCAAATGTAGGTGCAAATACATTCAAAGATACATCTCAGCATGATAAAAGCATTTTCATTAAAATTAGGAAAGGCACTTAAAGAAGCTTAAATCTGTTTCCAAAATTTGACTTACCACATGAGAATTGAATTTCTCTAGTAGATTTTCTAGAAACTTCTTTGAAGAAAGAAGGGAAGCTTTGTTCAACTGCTCCTGCCTCAAGTCATAGTCATCATGCATGGGCTATAAAAAAACAAGTATTCACTACAAAGGAACATTTCAACCCTCAATTCTTAACAGCTGTAATCCAAAAGCCACTCTCTATATACAGAAAAAGTTCAGTTCAAGCTCAGTAAGAAATCACTGTATAACAAGTTATTCCATGTCTGAACACACTTCAAGTTGAATGGCAGTCCCTATTTCTACATCTTTCAAAGCCTGAAGTTCACATATTTCAAAGTGAAAGAAACTGAAATTTAATACTTACACACATAAGAGCACACAGCATGTCAATAGAGGCATGGGTTACTCCATCATTGTTCCTTTTGAGGGCTTTCACAACCTTCACTCCTAATCGTTCTCGAAATCTTTTGAAAGGGAACCAAAACCACTAAGATCAGAGAAGAAACTAAAATCTTAAAATTAAGATGAAATCTAATCAGTGGCCAAGAAGGGTCCGCTCCTATGCATTTAGCAAGCCAGTACCTTGATATTTTCATAAATTTGAGATTCCTGGCAGGAAAATTTTGACTTTACTGTTAACATGCCAAGCACATTCATCAAAATAAAGATGTATCTGTGTAGTTACAGGATACTATTTATAGAGAATCTGAAATTTATGAAGGTCTCAGACAAAGTGCTTTTGTTACTCTTCCTGCAATTCTCTATATTATAGTTCCTCTATATTTCCTAGTCAGAAATATTTCAAAGAATCTTTCATTTTCAGAACAATAGACAGTTTTTCTGCTTCCTTATGTTATTTAAGACAAACTCCAAGCACTCTGTACAGACTACAGAAGTACAACCTCCTAACACCATTTTATCTTGTGTTAAACTGAAGATAGCAATGACATCAGCATACTTTGAGACTGAAGAACTGCTTACTTCAAGGACAGATGAAGGTACATGTTAAAAATTTTTCCACTGGGAAAATCATTAAACCGTATTTGCCTCAAGACAGAGTATTTAGCACAGGAAGAATCAGCTTTCCTTGCAAATGATTACCTGGGATTCTCAATTTGCACAAAAGCCTGGTGGCAGCCTCATACATGAAAAACATCATGTACAGAGTCTTAAAGTTCTTTCCAGAAGGGATTCCATTTCTCACTTTTAGACATAAGTTACTAACAAAAGTTCAAGATCTATTTTCATCTTCTACTTCCAAGCTTGAAGAGACTTTGCACTTACTTTGGAAGCTGAGTAAAGGCAAGGAAGCCTGCTTTTGAAGCCACTAGTCGTCTTACTGCTTGGAATTGGCTTTCAAGCTCTGCATTAGATGCTGCAACATCTCCCTCTTGGGAGAGCAATGCTGTTATGGCATTATTAATGAGCTTTTCCTTGTTTTCTGAGAAGAGACCCTGGTTAAAAAATAACAATCATTAATATCTTTCTGCATTAGCAACATCTTAAAAGGATGGGTAAAGGCTCTATTCTTACATCTTGCGTAACTGCATGTAGGACTCCACTATAGGAAATGTTAGCATTGAACCTGAACACAGCATCTGCAAAGTTACCATCTGGAAAAAGACATATCAAAAGTTAAGTGTACAGTACCTGACTCAATGGATGCTTTAAAGAGCACTATAGACCCACATAAGAAGCATTAGCTTACTTGGAGGAGCAGCCAAAAACTTCAGATGAAGGCTCTCTACTTCCTCATCCACAGGCATACTGAGTAATCCCCAACGCTGGCCTTTGTGCGTGGAGGTCATTTTCACACAGACATCTCTATTACCAGAGGCTCTCACTCCATCCAACAAGCTAGCCAGAAGAGAATCTCTGGGTTGGGACAATGACACACAAATACAATTGATATCAGAGAAGTGGTGCCAAAGAAACAAATTATAAGAGAAATGGGGGTAAAAAAAAAAAAAATCACATCATGAAAGGCAGCAATACCTGGAATCTCTTACTAATGCTACTGCAAACAGCTACACCTCTGGAAGAAACCACTAACTTTCAGTGTTCCTTTATGCACTATAGGGAGAGAACTGACTTACACCCAGTATAGCCAGCTGCAGCCTTTCACTAATGGGATCAGTTCTAGATTATCTGTTAATGAGTGACACATGTTGTTAGCCAATTCATCCCTGTGCTTTCTGCAAAACCTCACTTAGCAGGATTAGACTGTATTACAACTGCAAGTGCACTCAGGGACTGTTCTGTTGGTTGTTTTAAATAGAATCAACTAAGACTGTCTCAAGCAAAGAGCTCAAAGGGTTCACAGCCTTCACATTTCCATATCACTTAGACTGTGCTTTCTTCCCTTATTTCAGACATACTACTTAACCAAGTACAGCATACACAGAACTATATTGCTTAGGAGAAACACTGTATCTAACTGTCCAACACCCTTTCATGTTCATCAGAAAACTTCTGGAGAGATTTGTTTAAAGTTGGGATGAAGGTAAATGGGAGAGATTTAGTTCCTGTAACAAACCTTGATTTATAAGTGGCAAACTGCTAGAACAGCAAGGCTTTGAGTTAACCTCTCCCAAGGGTCAGAATTTATAGAAGCTGAGGAACTAGAAGTGCTACAGTAGTAACTTCCATTTGGATCTGTAATGCACAGAAGCTCCAGTTACCTTTCTGTTGAAGAGTATTTTCGAATTTGTCCTTTGATGAATTCAATGGTGAAAAGCTGGGGGTTTTCACAGTCACACACTATTGCAAATACCTGAAAATAAGGGACAAAGATCACATTCATGAAGTAACGTTATTTAGCTAATCTACAAATTAAGGCTTACATATACTATCAACTCTTCTCTTTTAGAGCCTTTATTTGAAGAAGTGGTAGTGAGAAATAATGCCCTTACCTCGCCTAAAGGTTTCAAAGTTGCAATGTTGTAGGTAGCTGGATCCCTCTCAACTAAGCAAGCTTCTGTAAGAGCTAGTATTCTTTTCACAGGCTCCTTGTAAAACAAGAGAGAGGCATGCTAGGAAAGAGAATACTTAGTACTTAATAGGAACCAAGTATGTTCAGTCTGACAGCCTTACCAAGTGCCTAGGTGTTATTTTTTGAACAACAAACTCTGCTAAAGATGTTATAGATTCATCATTGCTGTACTTCCCAAAGCGAAGGTTCAAGTATTGCTCAAATTCTAGGGATTCTTTCCTTATCCGCAGAGAGATGCCTATGAAGTTGCCAGCATGGTCTATTGCACTCTTGATAATTTCATCCCTCTGCTCAGAGGCAAACAGGTGCTGCAAATTTTGTCAGGAAAAACAATTAACAGGTGAAAATTATGGCACAGCTGAAGAAAATGACAGTTCTAGAAATAATCCTCTACTATATACCTAATGGTAGGGAATGTTCACAGTAGCTGGACTGGCCTTTGCTAAGTGCATGGTATAGACAGGCATTTATTACACAGGAGATCCACTATTAACTTTACATTTGCCTTTAAAAAGAAAATCTATAGCACCTATTCCTAAAGGATACCCTGCTACACATTAGTGTGCCATTAAAATTATGGTCTGCATGACCTGCCTGTCCACCCCTGGCAACAGACCCTGACCCTGACAGCCTGGCAGGAGTGAGGACGCAGAGAAAGCAACTGGAGCTACCGCTGGTGATCTTCAAGGTAAGGGCAGCTCTAGAGGATCAATTATACATTGCTAATTTTATGCCAAAGAAAAGCATGCTGCAATACAAAAGACATAGAAACCCTCCTCTAGTTCTATTTTAGAGACTGAAGTAGCCATACCTAGGAATTAATTTATGGTTAATAATGTAAACATCCCTTTCAGCTGTTTGAAGTACAGTACACAGAAACCCTGTCATGATTTTAGAACCAACATTACACTGAAACATTTCCCAAGCAAAAAGCTGCTAAGTAATCAGATCACAGGTCTAAAGAGGCAATGGCATCACTGATCAATCTATTTCTGAATTGAATCCCTACATCACTTAGGTAAATTAGTAACACACTATTGTAAATTTGAGAAATGACAGGAAATTCCACATCCACATTACATTCATATTGACTACCTAAAAAAGTAGATATCCCACCCTTTCTAGTTCTTAAACATGCAATACACACACATACAAAACTCCCCACACCAAAAACCATATCAACACCCTCTCAAATGTTTTAACTAATTTACTTTCCTTTTAGGATCTGTCCCTAAGCCATGAGGCCCCACAACTGGCTCCCAAAGATGCACATACTTGTATGCTCCAACTGTGTTGAAATTTCATTATTAAATATGCAGCTATACATATCCTAAGAACCATACCAAGATAATTTGATTTCATACTCACCAATCTACTAAACCCTCCATAGAGGATACAGAAGCCTCCCTGATAGCCAGTAATATCAACAAAGCCTTCAATATTTCTGTAGTCATAGGAGCACAGGACCTTATTTGTTGCAGGATCAATTTGGTCAATACCTCCAGGAGTCACTTCCAGAATCACAGGTTTCCTCGTATCACTCCAGTGATGCTTATAGCAATTATACCTCTGCAGGGAGAGCTACTTTTAGACATCTATGCACACTATTTTACTACACAGCAGTAGTTCTCTACTTAGCTAGTAAGTTAAAAATATCACATAATTTCCCTTAATGCTGTTGTCTATATTAAGAACACTATGAAGAAAGTAGCTGTAGTTGACAATTGACAAGGAGGTCACAGCTTAAACAATGCATGTTGAAGCAAGAACATAATCCCAAAAGAGCCACTCTCAAAGAAAGTAAGTTCTCTTGTTGCAGAAGGTGGTCTTCTCACAGACTTCTGAACACTGTGGTTAGATGAGGAAATAGCATTTACACCAAATGCTGTTATTCAGCTAATTAAATCAAGTTAAGCTAAGTTTGGCACTGTAGTGAAATTTTTTCATCTCCTGCAGTCACATTCCATTACAAATACAAACTTACTTTAGCCAGCAAAAGTTAGAGGTCTGTTCTAAACTACAATAAGAGAAAGGGGATCCCCATATTCCAGCAGTGTTACTATGCTCATGACTGAAGATTTATTCTATGAAACACTTTAAATTACTTAAAGTAACTTTAAGCACTTGAAGTATTGCTGTCGTCTATGTCCAAAAGACAAATATAAAGTCCAGCTCTGTAGATTGCATTGCTTATTGCTGTATTACCACAATTCAGTGAATGACAATCTTGTCTGTAATCTGACCTATAGAAATCCTTTTAGAAAACATCAAATTTTCAGGATGTTATGCAGAAAATATTTAATTACTAAGTAAAGCAAACATTGACTAACATGAATCAATGTTTTTCTCCTCTCCAGATAAGAACTCCACATAGCTCAGCCCTGTATTTCAACAGTAACATTCATAGTCCATGTACAAGAGTAAGGCTCAGGCCAATAAAAATTAGCTCAAATATTCCACTGGTAAAGAGGTTCCCACTGCTTTTGAACAAACTCCATTTTCTCTTCTCAAAGACTTCAGATTCAAATTCACAAAAGCTATTTTAGGTAGCACATATAGCACAAGCATAAAATACATGAACAAAGCAGAAACCTGAGTCTTTAGATCATTTCCTTAAGTGGCACATGATGCAGGTAAGCCAGACACTCACCCGTCCTGTGATTTTTCCTTCTGAGAAGTCTGTCCTGAATCTCTGTTTTTAAAAAAGTTAACAGTGAATGAATGCAAATATGACAACCTATCAATCCAGAAAGTCTACATTTAAGCTGACTCTGTTTTATGAGACTTGTATTAAGCCTCCTCAGAAAGCTCACTACTCCATTGCAATTAATATATTCAATATTTGTACCTTTACTCACTCTTTAGAAATCATGCAGTACTTGCTCCAAGTGACACTGGATCAAGATCATTAACATAACAGCTCAAAAAACTTGCCTTCCTACTTTTTATGCAGGGAAAGAAAGCATAATACACTACCACAAATGGCAACTGAGTACTTACTGCTTGCTTGAAGGAAATAAAAATAAAAATCTTACCAGTGCCTCTGTAAGGAGTTCTGTTCTGTGCTCTGTGGAAAACTTAAGTGTCTCAGATTTTTTTCCACTCCCTTTGCGAAAAGTGAGATTAAATTCTGTTCCTTGTCCTTTTCCAACAGGAGAAATACCACAGATATCTCCATAAGGCCACTAGACAATTGAAAGTAATTAGGTAATACTGTTAGTAATTTTAAAGCTACATCTCCCCCTTTCAAAACCCCTTAGAACCTGTAATAACCCTGTAACAATGTGACAGCTAGCACGCTACTTGACAGCATAAGCTTGAGCTTCCTCTTTGATACTGTGCAAAGTAACTAAGTGTCCTGACTCCCTTCAGGGACGCAGCTCAGCAGTGATCAAACTTACCCTGGTTCCTTCAGAACAGCACAGCCAAAGGCAAACTGCTACTTGCTGGCCAATGAAGAGAAATTGCCTAAAAGTACAAAACCCTACTGGGTATTTGTAGAGTTAGCAAAGGCCACACAGACCTTCTGTTATGTGTACTTTTGTACACAGCTGCCACACCTTCTGGCTCTCCTGAGATCTTGTCAGACTAGATGGTTTCTTAAGCCTGAATGCCACTATTCACTCTGGATAATGGACATAAGTCAAAATTCAGCTTCAAAAATGACAGTTACCTGATTTGTAACTTCCAGTGTGTTGGGGTTGTATGTGGTGACGGCATGGGTTCCAACTGAAAAGACTCGTTTATACCTAGAATACAAAATAATGTTAAGTTTCTCCAGAAGTCACAGGAAAACCCATGCTGAACTGCAAAAATGATGTTAAGATCACAGGTTTTTGTTAGGAAACGGATATGGAATTTTCTTTGTTGTAACTTGCAGTTTACCCTTATAACATGCTAAGCTCTTCAGTTCTATATATCCATAAACGGGATGTACAAGTTAAATACTACTAAACAGATTTATTTATGCATACCTTTTCCTAAGTTACTGGCTAAGGCAGGATCAAAGACTCATGGACTTGCACTGAAAGGTACTACCAGACCAGAATAAATTTTAAGAAGGCTAAACAGGTAGGAAAAAAACCCCAGCCATTCCTGCAATAGTCTAAAGCATCCATCTGAAGCTGTCTCAGCCAACAGCTTTAACACAAAATCCAACTTACACAGCTGTTCACATTACTGTACCAAGTCAAAGTACTACTATGGCCAAGCCTGATTTTCTCCATCTTGAGGGAAACCAAAGCTACCAAACTCTAGACACGCTTATATCACTAAAGCTGCAGTCATTGTACATTGATATCACAGATATGTTAACTGTCACAGGGCTTAAAGAATAGCAAGGTAGTTGTTTGTGTTTCAAGTGTATCAGACACAAGCAGCAGTGAGCTAAAGCTACAGAATTTTGATGCATCAAGTGCAAAAATCAAAGCCTTACCATGGCTTCATTTCCTAGATAATCTCCAAAATGTACCCTGAACAAAGACTCTTTACATATTTCTGAATCTGCAAGTTTTGAAACATAACTAAGCAGAGTTTGAAAGAGTAGATTATTAATAATAGCTTATTACTTGCACAAGCCATGTTCTAGGGTGCTTCCATCTGGAAGCCATCCGGCCCAAAAAGTAAAGCCAAAGCTGAAGCAGAGCCAGTACTAGTAAGTATTCTCTCACTAAAGCAATAGCATCTGAACATGGATGCCTTTCTTGAACTTGAACCAAATAAAAATACTTTGGCTAGTTGTCCACATTAAAACTGATTCAGTGTAGAAATTTAAGTTTCAGTTCTGGGTAAACTGTGGGTTTGCTTGGAAAAGATATTAGCAACCAGATGTTTAATTAATCTGAATTTGTGCCATGTTAGGCTTGCTGCAGAAGCATGCGGTGATTTCTTGCATCCTTGTTTTGCTTGTTGTTGTTGCGTTCTTTCTCCTCTCTCACTTGACAGGTCTGCAGCACAAGCCATCATTTCTGCATAAAGCCAAACTTTGCATGGGCATCAAATATATTCAGAGCAGCTCTCACATATCCCTTACAACAGGAAGGTCAAGAGCATCTATCAGTGCAGTCAGGCAATCTCACAAACTTAATACCCTTCCAATTTCCATTATTATTAAAACAGTGCAAGTTGAAGCTTTACTTGCCCAGAGTTTACTTTAGGAATTAAAACAAGGGCTTATTTTCTTCAAAGCTTAGGAACATCTGTATTGAACTGATTGGCCCTCTTAAGGATGCTTAACATACTTGCAAAACCTATCTGTGTTTTTCTACATAGTTGAAATTTCCTTATTTAAGATGCAAGTCAAGGAAGTAATGAAGCAGAATGTTTGAAGCTACTCTAGCTGCCAATAATTCCACTATATTCAGCCTCTCAAGGAATGCTCCAGTCCTTAGTGCATAAGAAGAAACACACTGTTCCCTCTCCTCTTGTTGCACAATTTATATAGGTTTTTCTGTCTTTTATATGACTTATAAAGAAAACTCATTTAAGTTCTTTAGAACAGCATATCACAAGTAATAAAGCTCTTTATTACTTGCTCAAGGTTTTGTTTACTTACTGAGCCTACTATGAGCTGCACAGTGCTCTGTGGCAGAGTAAGGATTTGCAACCATTACACATAACTGAAGATCAGCTTCCAAACATCATAGCCCCTTCCTTTTCTCCCCTTATGCTCAATCCTACATTTCAAGATCCGAGAAGAATTTATTCCAGCATTCTTAATATGTGCTGGGATAAGGAACACAAGATAGAACAGCAGTTTTGCTGAGTTGCCATTTCCCTTGTTTCCTCTCCCTAGGTAAATCCAGAAGAACCAAGTCTTGTTTCATGAACAGAGGAGATTCAGAAGTCAGCTCTTACATGTGGCCTACTCTTGTTCATAACTTCACCTATAAATATTTAAGAAAGGCATTCATACCTCCAGGACTTGAAGAGTTTACTATTAATTATCTCTCAAACTACTCTGCAGTACTGTCTAATCCCAGGCTGTTTGGAGAAGAGTTGAAGCAAATCTCCTCTTCCCCAAGAAAAGGCTATGGCCTGTTCACTAGTTATTTCAAAGCACTGGAGAGATCTTTTTAATCACAATGAACCTGGCAGATCAATTTCATACCACCACACCAAAAAAAAAAAAAAAAAACAAAACCAAACCTTCATTAATTTTACAGATCTACAGAACACTGGAGCATCACCATGTGCACTACTGGAAAATACTTTATGGACACACACAGCCCATATTCAAAATGACTAATTCTATGAGTAGTCAAAATGATTCAGGCTCATTTAGCACCACACATTCAGTTACTGCTTTTTTTAAATGTTATACATAGATTATACTGAGAATGTATAACTACAAACTGAGTGGACTAGAGAATTCAAATAGAAAATTACTAAAACCCAAATAAACTTCTGTTGCAACAAACAAGGTGCAACTACTTACTAAATACTTCTTTCCCCCTCACTACAAAAGAATTAACACACCACTGAATTTTTAAACTAAATCTGTTCTAGACTTTAGACTTAGCCTGAAGTTCTTTAAGAATTCTATAAATGTACCAGAACATTACCATCAAGGTTCAAGATCATAACTTCAAGAGCTTGCCTCAGGCTCTTTAATGAGAGGAATTCTCCTTTCCTTCTCAGTACTCCCAGTCTTTGATAGAATGAATGGGTCAGACAAAAAAAAAATCAACCAGTTTCAATTTACTGGTCAAACAACAGATTTGGACAATACCTCTTCATAAAACCATTAGAATCAAGCAGCTCTCCTGTTCCCAAGGTGCAGATAACCCACTCTCTTTGTTATGTTGATGTTTGGATAGTAAGGAAAAACTCATTCTACAGAGACACTACGCATGTGAAAAGGGACAGTGGGTGAACATACCAAATCAAGTTCTGTAACAGCTGACTTCAGACACAGAATAACAGATACCAGTTATGATAACTTAGTGCATCATTTTATTAGACATTCCCAAGCTTTTGAAGACAGAATCATCACCAAAAATTCATTTTTAGATCCAAGACCCCCATTAAAATCAGGTTAATTTCTATTAGCAGAATTCTTCAAATTATCTCAGTTAGCAGTTTAACAGATAATCTGTTACACAACTTAAATGTATATGTGGACTAGTAATCCTCATGAATTAAAGTACATAAAACACTACTCCTCCATAAAACTGTTCTGAGAAGAAACATTTCCATCTTAAATTTAGTGGTTTATATAGTTAGTTCAGAGGCTCAGAACCTGATGAGGTCGGACGGTCCATTTCAGACCCACACTGCAGTGTGGGAACAAAAGCAGAGGAAAGCTAAACCACAGTGTTACAAATCCAAACTGATTCTAGTGAAGATACATTTAGTTCAGACACTGAGCAGCAGGAGCCTTTAGTTCAATTTTCATTCATCAGTTGGATGAAGTTAAAAATACGCACTTAAATCCAGTAACAGAGAGGAAAAATGTCACACAAAACTTTAAAAACAAAAAGCCAAAATTAACAAACTTCAAATCACTTACTTTCCCCTCCATGAATGTTTTGTTGTGTAGAAACAAGCAAGATCTCTGTTTTCTCTAATTATATTCATTCTGTGCCAAGACCTGAAAACAAAGGAGACATCCTGTTAGCACTCAGGATTCTTATTTAAAACCAAAGTTCACCAATCATTGATATGCCTTTACAAAAAGACTTTGTTTTTAAACTTGTTTATCAAACAATATGTGGACCAAATTGTACAAGAATTATTAGTTTTTCCACTGCATTTGTTACACTAGCTATTCCTTACCAGTACCAGGTTCCAGTAAGTTGTGCCACATTCACCATATTACAATCGCTCTACTTTCACTGCACTTTTGCACATTCAAATTCAAGTATATTTTATGTCATCTCTAAACTGCTTTACTCTCAAAAATTGTATTACATAAAATTATTTGAGTAACCTCTACCTGTAACTCTAGCTAAATCAAAGTTCTACTGCAATTCTGAAATAAACAGTAAGGAGATATCCGGATACATAGAACCGTTTGTTTCCCAGTCTGAATCAGAACTTGAGGTTGAGAAACTTACTAGCCAAGCATTATGACTGAAGAGCTGACTAAGTACCATTCCTATGCTGTAAAAGTTTAAGCAATCTCACCACTAACATCATGATATGCTTATTTCACACAGAGGGAATATCTATTCCCTAAACACACACAGAGAGGAATTTAGTTAAACTTCCCCATAATTGCTTAAGTAGATCATTGCTTTAGGAGTTGCTAAGTTCTAAGGAATGCTTCTAAACACTATTATTTTCAATGCCTGAAACAAATGCATGCTGAGTAGTTAGGAAATTAATCTCCCATTTATTTCACTATGCTGTTGTTGCATATTCAAGGAACTTCAGCAGACATTCCCTGATTAAGTACAAAAGTGAAGTTGTCACTCTCCATTTACTGCTACAGCATTAGCTATATTTTCAAATGTGTTAAATCAGGCTTCCCTGTAACTGATTGAAGACTGGTACTACCCTCAGGTTCACACCAATAACACAGTGGCATCCCCAAAATACCACACACTAACGCTGGTCTGCAAGAACACAACTTGCCTGAAGCAACTCTCAAGCAACCCAATCCCAGTCAGTTCCCCACTCAAAGTTAAGTAACATCCCATTATCTTTTACATTCATCTAACTCTGCTTGACTGGGCAAAGGAAGATTTCTTATTTTGAGATGGACAACCTGCAACATTAGCTCATTGCTAATTTCTACCCTCTATGACTTCACGTTATTTTCTTTCTGAGCAAAGGCTATAGCAGTTATGGAGTCATGAGCATGAAGAATGGATAACCTGCTCAAAATGAACTCTAGAATTCCTTCCCTCAGGTGAAGAGCCAGCACAATCATCACTACCTACTGAAGGAAACTTGAAGTACTGCCTCTGGGAAGAGAGAAGAGCAGTATTTACATCTTTCAATGACTCAGTGTTCAAGTCAAATTTTTAGAGTTAATATTCCAATGACTCGTGGCAAGTTAAATTCTCTAAAGTCAGTTTTTGGAAACAAAGGACAGGATATTCAACAGCATTGGACAGGGAGTTGTCCAGAGGGTTGCACTCAAGCAGTTGCAGTCAATGGCTCAATGTAAAAGTGAAGATAGTGACAAGTGGCATTCCTCAGGGGTCAAGACTGAGACTGGCACTGCATTAACACCTTTGCCAGGGATATGGACAGTGGACTCTGCAAGTTTGCTGATGACACCAAGCAGCGTGGTGCAATCGACAGGCATGAGGGAAGGGATGACATGAAAGGGACTCTGACAGGTGGGAGAGATGGATCTGTGCCAACCTCACAAAGTTCAACAGGGCCACACTCAAGACCCTGCAGCTGGGCTGGGCCATCCCAAGCACAAATACAAGCTCGGTGGAGAATGGCTTGAAAGCAGTTCTTGAAAGTTACTTGGAAGTGTTGGTTGATGAGAAATTTGACAGCCCAGCAATGTGTGCTCACAGCCCAGAACCACATTCTGAGATGCATCCAATGAAAACTGCAGGCTAAGGGAGACAATTCTTCTGCTCTGCTCCACTCTTGTGAGACCCCACCGGCAGTACTGTGTCCAGCTCTGGGGCTCCCAACATAAGAAGGACGTGGTGCGCACCTTCTGCAGTGAATCTAGAGGAGAGCCACAAAGATGGCCAGGGAGGGAGCTGGAGCACCTCTTCTACGGAGACAGGCTAAGACCTGGGGTTGTGCAGCCTGGAGGAAAAGCAGCTCCAAGGAGAACTTAGAGCAGCCTTTCAATACCTAATGGGACCTACAAGAAAGCCAGGGAGGGGCTTTGGGCACGTAGTGACAGGACAGAGCGACAGCTTTAAACCTTTAAACTGAAAGATAGGAGGCTTAGGTTAGATGTTAGAATTAAATTCTTTATTGTGAGGACCAGAATAGGCCCAGAGAAGCTCTGGATACTCCATTACACCAGCCCTGGAAGTGCTCCAGGCCAGGCTGGATGGGGCTTTGAGCTATTTGGTCAAGTGAAAAGCGTTCCTTGCCCATGGCAGCGATGTTGTAACTCAGAATCATCTTTAAGGTCCTTTCCAACCCAAAGCATTCTATGATTACTCCTGAAGTTCCCATTTTGCTAGGGTTAAGAACTGTTATTATTATTACCATGGATAAGAATCAAAACAGTACACTCTATCCAAACTACACAGACCTTACTGTACAGTAGCACACTTTAGATCTGGTAATTTTGTTTCAAAGTTATCTTTCAGAACAACACCCCACATCCTCAATCTTCACGCCCCTCTTTCAAAGCCATTTTCTTGACATTGACTAAAGTATTAGCAAAAATAAAATAAGAGGCTTATAACAAGACTAGCTTTACTAAGTACAGGATTAAAAGATCTATTTATCTGTAATTCCAGTTTCACCAATACCAGACTCCTTTGACCAGCTCTATTAGGTCTCCCAGACCTGAACTCCACTTGCTCTAGAGTATTTAAAGCAAGATGTTCTCAAGGTTGCAAATATCTACTCCTAATAATACAGAACTAAGAAGCATTCATTTATGAGCTACCAGCAGCTTCCAGAAATTTTAACACCAGCATCTAACTAGAATCAGGATACTGATGCATGAAGTATTGTACCTGAAGTGCAATAACAAATTCACCAGGCTGCTTTTTTTTTTAGATGAAAATCACTAAAATCATTTAGCTTTCATGCTTTATTCACTGTGCTTCTGGACAGTGATTGCAACCATCCCTCCCACTGAGAAGACTACCACAGGGGCAATATATGCTCAAGTCCAGCAACAATTAATTCTTGTACACATTTTCCAGCAGTTTAACAGACAGAAATGGCTAACAATAGCCTAGTGTTCTGAGCTGCTGTGGTAAAGCCCAGCAATTATTTACTGGTTGTCTTTGATTTCACAGTAAGAACAAGATAAAAAAAAATAGTTCATATCAAAGGCAACACTACTTTAGAAGAAACCAAGAAATTCCTCTTCCTTCACTCATTCCAGCAGAACCAGTGTGGCACCTCTCTTGTATTGTGCACAGTGTCACAAACTGTAATTTTAGCACTAAGACAGAATAACCATTGACTTTGCAGAACACATCAGGCTTTAGCATTGATCAAGTTTAGCCATATTGTCAGTGTAAGCTATAGTGGCCTGCTTACTTATATATTAATTTCCTAAAATAAGACAACATTCTTGTTACCTTTACCTTTTCTTCCTGCATTCAGTAGACCTTTAAAAAGTTGCCTGACTTAACACAAAAATGGAGCAAAATTTGTTATCTCACTCATAAGAGCCCCCAGGACAATAAGGCACTAACTTGAGCAATCATCTTAATGCTCTGGGGGCAGAGAAGTCACAACTTCAAAGGTTATTTTGAATACTTTGCAGCACAGCTATTGCATATCCCATACTGATGGCTTTTAAAGGTTTGATACTAGAGAAACACCCAGTTGTTCTATTTCCATTGGGGCAGAGGCAAAAACTGCTTTGAAAGTAGCAGTTTGTAAACATGATTTTCTTGGTTGAGAGCGGGAATGCTGAATACAGACTGTAGTCAAACAATCCAAGGATTCTGCAGGCAAAGTATTGTCTACAACTTGCAGCTTCTTTTGGGAGCCTACCGAAAGCACTCCCCAAAATATCCCCTGGATATTTTAATCAGCTTTTTCACAGGACTGAAGTTGAACAATACTTTCCTATTTGGTTCCTGTAGTACTGTAAATAGCAGAGAAACAGCTTTAGGGGAAGAGCTGAAACCACATTTTTGAGTGCCTCATGTACCAGAAATAGCAACCCTTTAAACTAAAGGGCCTGAACTGCTTTCAGGAGTCCCCTTGCCTCAGAGTTTAAGCTACACAGAAGCATATAATAGTTTGAGTTGAAAGGGACCTTTTACGCAATCTATATTCAACTTGCATGCACTTTCCACTTTTCCAGGATTTCACATTCTTTAGACAAAACTACCATCTGGGAAAACAATCTATTTCAGGAAACTGAGACAAGTCAGTCTCAAACCAGCACTTGTGGAGTCAGAAGAAAAGCTGTGACCTTGCAGACATCAAAGCAATAGGCACAGCTGTAGTTACACATAAGTTTCCTTCAATTCATTAAATCAAGTCAGAAGTTTGGACACGGGTTCAAAGTTTAGTGCAGAATTCAGATTGAGTTTTTTTTCCTGATTATATTATCTCTCTATTATTACAAAGCCTCAATATCTTTTTTAAACTAAGGTTTAACAAAGTAGGATTCAGAGCCCCACACAGGATTATTATTCTTTTCTACTGCAGGGAGGAGTAAAAAAAATGCTGATAAGAAACTGAAGTTTCTTGGGCAAAAGAGGAAGAGAAACACAGATAACAAACTGTGATTTTGGTTTTAAAATTTATTCCAGCACACTAGTAAGAGTTCCTGGAAAGTCTTTACTACACAGAGACAGAGAATCATAGCAAGCTCAAGTGGGACTTTTCAGAGAGAGAGAGAAGACATACTATGAGCAGAAAAACAGGAGCCAACTGGAAAGCAATGAGAGCAAAGCACCCAAAAATCCCTAAGATTCTGTTATTTTGTGGTTCTACACACCTGCCTGCTAGCTTAAAGGTCTGGACCCTGATTTCTAGTCATCTACACCTCTGTAGCTTTACAGCCATTATTTAAATAAGTGAGTTTTCCTGCACTGAGATGTTTTAGCTGTCTACATTTCAGCCTCCTCTTTCATTGCTGTGGTCACTAAGTGGCAGAATTTTGCCTTCAGACAGATTCTTTCTAACAAGCATTAATTTTTCCTCTTCCTTGAACAGTATTCTTCTCCTAAAGTACTACAGCCTAATTAGCTGTGGAAACAGATTTCATCTGCAGTGTAAGAACTCCCAGTTCTTTTTCTAAGAGGGGAAAGAGAGAAGATCCACCAGATCCTTAGAAGAAGCTACATGCAACCTGCCTCAGTGATAGCAGCAAGCCCACCTTCAGTGCCCCAGGACAGAAAGAGGCTGAGAATTCCAGCTTTACTCCTACCATAAATGACAGTGACAATATCAGAGTCCATCCTCCAGGTGACACATTCCCTCACTGAGGATCAGTGTTAAGGATAAGAAAAAGTGTGGAAGATTCTGGTTTTCTTTTAAATTTATATTAGCATTCTGCTTTACCAGTGAACCAATCTGATTCACCAGCTAGACAGGTGAGTATCAGAACAAAAGCATATACTCACTAAGGGAAGGAAGAAAAAAAATAGTATTCCTTTCAGTCATAGTTTAGCAATCCTGTCATATTTCTTCAGAATAATGTTCTGTTTTATTAGTGAGGCAAGAGAGTTGTTAATTTTTTTGACACAAGAATAGTTTTTTGGAAGCAAATCAGGAAGCTAAGGAGTTGAAGGTTAACACTTCAAGACATGGTTGAATGCCAGCAGAAGAATTATTAAGTCAGTAAGTTTCACCTACTGAGCTTCAAACAAGTCAAAAGCAAAGTCACCTCCACAGTACAAAAAACAGATCTGGCTTTAAAGACTAAGCCTCAGCATATCACTTAAAATCTGGAAATACAAAGTGATTCAGTCCCTCAGGACAAGTATGTGTTTGGAAACTATGAAAAATGCCACATGACACCCAGAGAAGCAAGCAATACATACAAAATACATCTTTCAAAAAATGTGCTCCAGCAAGGCTAAAATACAAGGTTAAAGTTCCTGGAAAGTCTATACCACACAGGGACAGAAATGCAACTTTGTCTCCAAACACTCAGATATTTGCTGCAAGTGGACAAATTGTCAGTAATAACAGAAAGGCACCAGTAGCTTCTAGTTAAGTGTTCTGGCACTTGGCAGCCTACAATAGGCAAGAATTAGACCAAGCTGCACAATCATGAATTGAAGCAGGCTGGAGCCAAGCATAATTTTCACATCTGTAATACTGGCCCTGTTATTTTGATTTTATTCATCAGACTGTTCGTAAACCACCTTCCTAACTCAATCCTAAAATGAAACTCAAAGTCACTAGCAGTCCCTTCATCAGCCTCCTCCTTTTCAACAGATCTCACTACAGGCAAGTAGCCTATGCAGACAAATCTAATAATCAACAAAAAAAGTCTTCAACTTCAGAGAACTTAAATTCTAAAACCAGGAATATTTTCTGAAACGCAGTATTATCTAACCAGTGCTAAGTAACACAAAACAAAACAGTTATCTACTGAATTTCATCTACTCCAACCATTACACATCTTATTCGTGAAAGAGCACAGGAGAAAAAGAAAAAACAAATTTCAGATCACATTAACTTCAAAAGCAGCGACACTGCAGAGATTGAGGGCATTCACAGGAAGTCTCTGAATAAACTTCTAGGCCTGTGTTTTCCCCCAAGCAGAATGCTCAAACACTCCCTCAGCTTGACAGCACCAAGCTGAAAAGAGAAAAAAGACCCCTCCCTCCCAAACTGAAGTGCTAAGATAACATTTTTATGGCCCAGAACTCAGCCCTCAGTGGAAGCACAGTGATGAAGGCACAGGCTTCACTCCACAGGAAAATGTATCCCAAAGACTGCTGGCAGCTCATTGCAGACAGAAAACCAATATGACTGCTTGTTTTGACTTTCAGAAAACAAAAAGCAAGCTAAAAGCATGCATGGAAGGAAATCAAATGTTCGTGGAAAAATAAAAGCATTAAGGGTAGATTTTCTGAAAAGTGCATCTAGTTCTGCTCATGCTCTTCAGGCATACTGCTAGCACTCAAAAAAGAAATCAAATCTCATCTCTGTGAGAGCATATCTCTGCCACATCTCTCCCACCCTTCATAAATTATTTCCCAAAGCATCTCCTGACGGGTATATTTTGATCTGAAGGCAGGAGAAGGAAAATACCGTGTCTTTTCTTAATGGACACGTCAATGCTCTTCTAAGAAAAAAGACAAATTCTGCCCGGAGGCTACAGAAGCCGCATCAGGTGCGGGGCACGCCGAGCGAAGCGCCGGGCGGGCAGAGGCTGGAGAGCAACCCAGCCCTGTCCTCTGCCCGGATACAGGAAGCGAAGGCAGGGCTGGGGCGGCTGCTGACAGGTACCGCGCTGGGGCCGGGGGACGCCGGCTCACAGCCCCAGGCCCCCACGGCTGGGGCGGGAGCGGGGCTGTGCCGGCGGCAGCATCAGCCCTCGGTCGGCAGAGCCAGAGCTGCCCCAGCCCCAACCCCGCGCCCCACACGGCGCCGCGGGCCGGGCGCGCCCCCTGCCCGCCCGCCCGGCCCCGAGCAGCGCCCGGGACCGTGGAAGGAGGCGGGGGCTGCTGCCGCCGCCCCCTCGCCTCCCCCGCCGCTGGGATTTACCTGGCCGGGGAGCCCGCGCTGCCCGGACCTGCCCCCACCAGCAACGCGCTTTCCCGGCGATAAGGGCGAAGGGGCACGGAGCGGAGCTCTCACCCCTCACCCTCCAGCCGGCCGGGCGGGCGGCAGCCGCTACACCGCTCCCGCTGCCTCAGAGCCTGGCGCTGGAGGCCGCCATCTTAGCTCGGGCAGCGAGACCGCCCCCTCGGCGCAGTCGCCGTGCGGCCCGGGGCCGTCATGGGACGCGGTCACCTGATGTACTCCGCGCTGCCTCCCCCTTCCCGCCGCACTCCCTCCCTCCCTCCCTCCTTCCTTCCTTCCTACCCTCGCCCCTTGCCCTGCCCTGCCCTGCCTGATTCTGACGGGAACCGGCATGGCTCCGTGCGCAGGCGCCGCGCCGCCTGGGTGCAAAGTGCCCGTGGCGCTCCCCTTGCGCGTCGCCTCAGGGGTGCTAGTGACCGGTGCGCTCCTGCCCGAGCGTCCCCGGGCCGTGGAAGGCGCGTGGAACAGTTAAAAAGCCGGAGCGCGCTGTTTAATTGTGCACAGTGCTTACGTGACTGTAAAAGCCATGTTAAAATGCCACATTAAGGCTGCGGAGACTGAATCACTGATTTATGTGGTTGGCTAACCACCCTCCAGATTTCTTACGGGACTCGTAAGCTCCCCGTCAACTTCCCCATATTCTGCACCAGATCAAGGGTTCCCAAAAATGTAAACTACTGACGGCAGCATTGTAACACGAGCTCCTTAAAATCCCTACTGATTGGCATAAATATTTTGAATATTTTAAAATATTATTTGGACTAGAGTACTATGGCCTTTCCCTTAAAACAGTGTCATAAAAGTCTGCAGATGAAGAGAGAAAAGAGGAAAAAACTGCAAGTGGAACTAACTATTTTGGTGAAAAATACCGAAACAACAGGTGATAAATTTTTTTTAATATCCTTTAATATCCTTTTCACCTTCATATCTACTCTTAAGAAACAGCATGTAGCTGAGTCAGGGCAGGTTCAGGATGGATATCAGGAGAAATATTTTCACCCAGAGGGTGGCTGGGCACTGAACAGGCTCCCCAGGGAAGTGGGCACAGCACCGGCCTGGCAGAGCTCAAGAAGCTTTCGGACAATGTTCCTGAGCACAGGGTGTGACCCTCAGCGTATCCTGTGCTGGGCTAGGAGTTGGAGTTGATGATCCTTGTGGTTCCTTTCCAACTCAGAATATTCTGTGATAAACTGTCTTGTATTTTGCTTAAGATATTTAAATACTAGTCAGACATTCTTCTGTTAAATCTAGTCCTCCGAATCTGGGGCACTGTGATAAAATAGCACGGATGGGAAAATAACATTACTTCAGGGAAGCTGATAAATTGCTTTTGGTTACAGAACTTCAAGGGAGGAAAAAAAAAAAAAGATTTAATGTTTTATTAACGTACTAGGAATTGTAGGAATCTAATTTCAGAGGGAGGTCATATGATTTGGAAGAGTTTCTCTGAGTGCATAGAAGAGTTTTTGGAGTGGCTTCTGGTTTTGTTGATTAGTTGGCTCAGAGGGTGTTTTTGATTCAGGGGGTGTTGATTTTTTTCTCAGTACTTATTTTGCATTGTTAATATATAGGTAAGTAAAATATGTCAAGTAAAGCAAGAGCTTGTTACCTGTTTATTACTCAGGAACAAAGAATGACACTTGAATAATGAAACTGATGTAACAAAGTAGTAATCCATGTTTTCATGGATGGATTTTAATCAGAGAGCACAGATTATATTTCAGTATATTTATTTAGCTCAAACTAGTATTTTAGTAACTGTTTTCCTCTATTTTTGGACATGCTTTTGCCTAAGTAGTTTTATTAACTTTTGATCTAGTGCAAACAACTGATAAGAAAAAAGGAGGACACAGATTAAGGTAAAGAAAATTTGAGAGATAGTGAAATAATAATTTTGAAATTATTCAGAGAAAAAGTGAACAAGGAAGGTGTGTTTAACAGCTCTGACAGAAAGTTATGGAAATGATATTGTACAACATGGTACAACATCTCTCAGAAATTAAAGTAGACCAGAATTTCATTACTAACTAACTAACTAACTGTAAAGTATGTGTGAAGTTACCTTGTGTGCAGAAAAAAGTATTCTGGTTTGCTTGCTCTTTTTTTCTTGTGAGATGACACTACTGGATATTTTTAGAGATAGGATCTCATTTTTTCTGTTTAACCAAGGGTTTGTGAAAATGCTGGAATACAAAAATTCTATTTTTAACACCTCAAATTTAAAAGTTTCTTATCTTAGTTTAAAAAGAAAGTGAACAAAATCCTCACTCCATTAATGTCATGACAGTTTTGTTATTACCTGGGTCTGACACAGGTAGTGCTTTATTTTTCCCAGTCACTTTCAAAGTCAGAAATCGTATCAGAGCCATTCTCATTATCAAAATAGCATTAGTAAAACAGAAGTTTGATGCCTTCTTGAAAGATAAAATATTAAATTGCTTCAATCCAGTTTGGAGAAGCAAACTGAAGTTGAGTTCTTCCAGATTTTTCATGTGAAGTACTGCAAATGTCAATTTGACCTTGTCCATTTAAATACTTCCTTTTGCAAAAGAGTTCAGGCCATCTCCAGTCTAGAGGGCAAAGTCTCTCCTTACCATCCAATTATTGAAATCTGGAAGGAATGAAGAGTTCTAGTCCACCACTAAATAATTAATAGTCCACTGGCTATTTCTGTGATCAGCACCTATTCTGAAAGACAGTGGTTTAGGATGGCTGAATTCTTCAAGGAGGCTACAGTACAGGTACTGTAGAGCCAATGCTAAGATTCTCTGCATAAATATTATGATTGTAAATACAACCTATAATAGTGGATATCCTATTACCTTTAAGAAAGATATATTGTGGTTTATAGCAATAGAAAGAACAGGTTTCTACCTAGCCTGCATGCAGCAAACAATGAACAAATTAACTTCCCTTCCTAGTACTGTCTCTAACGGTAGGGCAGAATTTTGAGTCATCTGTTTGGGCAAAGGAGAGATTTTTCCACTCTTCCTTGTCTTAGAAGAAAATAAATTCCTGTTAGAACTGGGAATAGTGACTTTACTCTCCTACTTAACTTGCAGTGTTGGAGGGTGCAGGACCATCCACTCTGTTTTTCTGCCATGAAGTAATGTGGATCTATTTAGTCATCTTAAAGACTGGATCTAAAAGGTACAACACAGCTTAGTATGAATTTAGGATAACGAACAAAAAAATATACTTAATAATTGTAATTTTAAATGACCAAATAACAAGAACAGTAATCCCTTGATGATTAATTATAGTACTTGACTGAGAAGGGATAACAGAAAGATTTTGAAAGGGGGGAAGTAAATGTCAAAGTCCCACATAAATCTAATTAAGAAACATGCCTTTGGAAACCTCTGTCCTGGATCTTGTCTCTTTTACTACAAAATTATTGTAAATGGCAAAATGCAGGTTACACTGAGGGCCTTCTGGAAATCAAACTCACATTCCTGCATCAGTCTTTGTTCTATTCCTTATTATCCCAAAGATGCATTAAGACTATGCTGACAATCTGCCAGCTGTTCAAAGCTCACATCAAATTTTTATGTATCTTGACATATTTTGTCTAAAAATAAGTGCAGATAATAATGATAATTTATCTTTTGTGTGACATTTATTAACAGGTAACTTTTGGATGCTCCCCAATAATAATTCTATATTTCCTGATAGACCTGTTAAATGATGACTTGTTTGTTATCTTAGCTAATTGTGATAAATTTTGGTAAATAATTACTAAGTATCTTCAATACAGTGATGCATGCCAATCTGTATTCATATTCAGAGCATTCCTCCAATAACTCTTCTTCTGTTTGGATAATCCTTTCATTTTGGCATCTGCCTATGTACAGTAAACCCTCACATATTAACTTTTGAGCTCTTGATCCATCTATACCTTTGTATAACCTGGTCTTTTTGGTGCATCTTTTGAAGATAATCTACAAATTGTCATTATCTTTTAACACTTTTACCTTCCAATAGGTAAGTTCCAATATTAGTTGCAATCCAGTCTTAGTAGTTTATGTGGGTACATCTGGTGTAAGAAAAGTGAATATATCAGATTTGCTTAAAACCTCAGATGTCATTCATAGTAGAAAAAATCTTATAATGGAACTAAATAGCAATGCACAATGATGTAACAGTTCCTAATGAAATTACACTGTTTAAAAAAAGTATGGTTGTATTTTTCAAAGGAAAATGTAAAGGACAGATGTATTGTTTATTGCATGTAAAACAAAATAGCAACCAATTTATAGAGTAAGTCTTGAACTACCTTCTCTTTTGACTGCATTTAGTCAGGTTGTTGAAAAACAATCTGTACACATATGTTCATTGGAAACCTTAATAAAATTACAATGAAAATTCCCATATACGTATTTCATCTTGGGAATGCTTCACCTTAGCATTGCAAGGCTTCTTAAGGTAAACTGTTCTTTGAAATATCTGACTCCTAGAGACCATTTTGTGATAAAAGGTACTGTGGATGTCCCAGGTGATACTTCTTCACACTGTTGACACACAGCCCCTGCAGGGAAGTGCCCTGAAACACAAAGAGGTATTGCAGAAGAAGCAGAATATGAGAAAAGTGAGGACCTGTGCAAAGAAGAAATTGGAGTTCTGGAAGAGCAGAACTGGCCAGTGTAGTAGGAGAGGATTTTGCACATGGGACTCTCATAGGATGGATAAGTATCTTGAACAACTAAGAAGGAGAGTAATCAGTCAGCTTCTGAAGGCTAGACCTGGGAACTGGAAAGATAGGAAGAGCTGTGAGGCAATGATGTTTGAAAATTTTACTGTGAATAGGAGAAGTGCTTATGCAGGGAGAAGAGGATTTTTTTTCTCATGGAAACTGATACAGCCAATTCACAGAAGAGGGAAAGCAAAAGGAGAAGATATACTTAGATGTGGCCTAGCAAAAGCCATGTTAATGATAGAAATAGCTGAGAATAAAGCCTGGGAATGTCTAGGAAGGAGACAGGGATTGATCTGAGGAAAAGAATAAGATGATAAGAAGATTCAAATGTAGAAGCAAGGAGTGGGAGGAAGGGCTTAGCGGAGCAACAGGCTGCAAAAGACAGGACAAAAGAGGCAATACCCACAACATTCTGCTAAACTAGAAACCACAGGTTTTGCAGGATAATTCAGTCTGCTAAACTAGAAACCACAGTTTTTGCAGGAT